AGAGACCCTGAGTGTCATGGCTCAAAATCGTTTGCAGTGGCTCAGGTGCGTCCACTCGTCGTGTTCTACGAAATTCTAACCTTATGGATTCCTCATCACCTCTATCTTTGTCTTTCTAAATTTACCTCACTGAATTATACTTCTTGAATAACATCTTAGAACCCTGATCTCTCCGATTATTTCTAATACTTCTACTACCTCTAATACTATGGGGTTTGAATTGACAATTATATCTCTGTGCTAATGTGTTATGGCAACTTGAACTGATGTACGTGGGTACGAAGTTCTACGTTGTAACTGACTGACTAACTGAGCTCGTGAAAAAGATATTGGCTATTGGATATTGGATCATGATTTCTGAACACCCAACCCTATAAATATATCATCTCAGGGACATTTTGTTTGCTGTTTGTACTTGATGAATTGTTAATAAGCTTAAGTACTCATTAAATTGTATATTTATGTGGTTTTTTATTGGTCGTAATCTGATTTTGGCATATCTGTCCATTTTTTAGTTCTTGACTGATTAAGTGTAGTGTTTGTACTTTATTACGTCAACCAGTGAAACATTTTTATGCGTATTGCTTGTGTAGCGGGTTATTTTTTAAAATTAGAAAATTGCTATTTCAAAACGTAAACTCATAAAAATACCATACTTAGGCCAGTTTGCATTGATAGATTCTCCGCAAACCTCACCAGCTCACTTCTAAAACTATAGCTAAAATATTATTCAATGGAAAGTTTCTGATTACTCTTTACTATTAGGTGCGTTTGTACAAATATGTATAACTCACGATACTCTTCTTCCCTTTTCTTTAGGTTGTTGCTACCCGATTTACGTTGTATTTAAATTTTTAATTCCTGTGAAGTTTGTTGGATCGTGATGTCTCCCATAAGCAAGCCATACGAGATTGAAATCAAGAGGCGAGAGGTTCGAGATTTAAGGGTCCATTGTGCTTATGAAAGGCTAAAGTTCAGCCATACTGTTTTAGACCTGATTAATTATTGTCAGCAAAATATCTTATCAGATCCCCTTATTCATCGCGTTAAAAACAATCCTTTCAATGAGAAAAAGTGGATGTGCGGGATGTTCTAATTCGCTTCATAGAATGAATGTGAGGAACCCTGGTTGTTTGCAAATCACTGTTTAAAACTTGTATTGTTTCGTAAATAAAGTAAGGAAGTTTTGTAGACTCATGGTATTTTCCACGAAAAAGTGTAAGTCAAAGTTGTATTTAGATTTCAGAAGAATATTTAATTTACTGTTATGAATAACAAATTTTCCAATTGCCCTCCGGATTACTCATTTGCACGGTCAACAGCTGTTTCTATGACATGGCATTGTTGGTTACTCATCATGAAGACGATTGAGTTGTTGACTAGACTGCCTGTTAACTGAGGCTATTATATGCCATGCAAGACAACTAAAAGAATCTAAAAGAGAGGGCTGGAATTCGCAATCCAAAAAATTAAAGTTACCATACTGATTTTACCAGGGCATGACAACAATAGGATGTTTCCTATTTATAATCAACCTTTATATCCTTCTACTTCATTGCCTTATGTAATTTCTGTTCCAGCAGTTAGGTTTATAGCTACTTGAAGGACATTGAGATAAAGGTAATAAACGTCCATATAGAAGTACGTCATGAGTGACTCTCTTCAAGTAATTATCCACTAGGCTCTGTTGTCGTGCTTCTAGCTGTTTTTGAGGTTTCCCGAGAGGAAGTATACAACTTAATACCTGGCACTTATGTAAGTCTTCTCAAGCCACTACGCTTTGCTAGCACAGCGAGACAAATCCCAGAGTCGTACAGGTAGTAACAGTGATAATAGAATAGTCTTTCCGATTACCGCCAATACTGCTACTACCTCTACCACTAAGGGATTTGAATTAACAATTAATCTCTCTGTGCTAATGTGGTATGGCAACTTTAACGGATTGATGTTCCAAGTTGTAGCTGACTGATTGGTTTGTGTATTCCATTTAGAGAGATATAGGATTCCCAAACGGAGCAAAGCAATGAGTCTCACTGCTATAAAAATGATGTTCCAGTTCAGTTAACTGTAAAACTTACTTTACTTCGTCGGCAATCCTAGTTAGCTTTTCAGTAGATAAATTTTAGATATAAACTGTAGTGTTAAGTTACAAAATTATTCATTTCAGTATATCATATTGGTTTATTCGGATAGTTCTTGCCATCTCGTTTTATGTAGCATCTTTTCGACAGAACACAGAATTGACTGTACTCAATAATTCCACGGAATACTAAACATTTAGTGGGTAGTCTATCTTAACCATACAAAATGTGTGAATAAAAAAAGTTTACTCATATTTTATGTACAATGGTCTACTGTTACCTATTGCCACTACCTTTTCCATGTCTTCTGCTTTTGTCACTCACCAATGCCCACGATAATGTTGTAGGTTTCTCATCAGCTTGTGTTTAAGCTCCTCATCGTGTTCAGAGCCGGATACGATGAGATTCGGAGCGTTTGCCAGTTCAGTAGGTGCTACTGAAATCTGATTTTGTCTAACCTTTGGGTTTCACTTACTGGCTGCTATTTCCACAGCTTTTTGCACACCATTCTAAGCTGCCTCGGGATAGGCATCATTTACATAGTTGTCGAACTGTTTCTCTAGTTGTTTCTGAAATGTACTCGAGTTTTTGTCATTAATTGGGACTCTAAGAGGTTTCCTTACTGTCTTTTTATGTCCAGTAAGCTTCAGAAAAATACGTGCGCAAACTAGGGCATGCTCTAAGTCTAAGCATGTGCTCCAGAACGAGCGGCAGTCTTTTATTGAGGCTATCAATCGGTTGCTGATAGCGATGTTCGGTCCAGCGTTGAGTTAACTTCGGTTTCGCCTTGTCAAAAGATGTTTTTCCTCATACTTAAAGTTGGTGTTCATCAGAAATAGACGGTTATCAGAGCATAATTGCAACAGACAGTCGTCGTTATCTTTTCGACGAGCCGCAACACTAAGGTCTTTCGATTCCGTTTAATCTTCCTGCTTGAGCATTAAAACCATTAGTTACTATTGCTATATAAGACCGCCTAGCTTTTTGAAGATGGTTGGAATGCCTTGTGGTTCTGCTTCTAAAATTAATGCCATACCTATACCAGTGAGGTCACAGGAAGTAGCGATGGGGCTTACAAATACACGAAGCATGAATCACGACGTCCTTTATTTTGACGAAATGAGACCAAATGAATGGCTGTACTTGGATCATGTATGCGCGTTTCAGAGACGCAGCATACATCAGTGACATGATATTCTCAAGTCTTAGTGAAGGGGGCTTGTCGTCCTATTTGACACAAGGACCGTACATTAAAAACTCCAATATATAGTTTAGAGCGTGGCTTCAGGAGACCAGAAATAACATTTAGTAGGTTAGTTGTGAGGACATGGGACTTAATAAGAGGAGGGTAAGGATTTGATCGTGAACAGGTTAATCACGTGTGCTTTTAACGGTATGGGTGGGGATTTTACTTCGACGTCGCTCACACCGTGGAAGGGTATTTCTTGAAAAACATAAGGAGGATGTTGAGTTAGCGTTGGTCGGCCTGCGAGCGTGATCGCAGAGACTGGAGGACAACTTCTCGAGGCCGGCCAAGCACGGCTGCTGCAGACGGAAATCTGTGGGATGAGGTAAAGTGTAACAGTTTTAGGGTCGACTTTTTCTAATATCCGCTGCAGATGCTGGTTGTCCAAAAGAAACACTTTACTGCTGTCACATCGACCGTCAGTTGATGCTTTAAGTCTCGCCTTTTTTAATCGTCCTACCTGGCGTGGTAGAACCTACAGGAACATATGTTCCTGCCAATATAGCTCGGTTAGGTCATCACGATGAGCAATCCTGACCACCTCATCAAGGTAGCAGCTCTGGTCTGGAGCAGTGTAAGATCCGACTTTTTGAAATATGTGGGAGAGTAATTTATCAAACTGGTTTGCTAGTACTCACAAAGGCAACTAGTTACCCTAGGTATTTATTATGAAGTGCTACCCATTAGGCTATTTTGTGTTTGCAAATAATCGTAACTCGGTTTTGATTTCGTGTGTTGAATAATGAGTTTTTTCTAAAGAAAATATGCCTCCTGCAATAATGAGTACATTTATTTGCTTGAATAATGGTGAAAAAATATACGTTAGTGTTGTTTTCTTTCGGTAAACTATCTACTTATGGTACATTTTAATCTTTCTTTTACATTCAAATACTTTAATCCATTGTACCTCTTAAATTAGTGGCTAGTTGGATTCAGCACCTTAGAAACAAATGATATATACAAGTTCGATTGGTTTTAATATAAATATGTTGTGAAATTAACATTACAACTCACGTTAGAAATAATTATTTCTATGTAAACTACCATTTTATTAGATGTGTAGCAACGATCTCAAGTGATGTTTGTTTATAAAGGTTTTTTCCGTAGTTACAATTCCTATTTGAACTTTCGAATTTCGACCATTAGATGGTGAGTCCAAACCAACTCTATCCAGTTAATCTCCTGTTGGTAATTTGTATATTTGATGTGTTTAGGATTCGTCGCACTAACTTTTGAATAGTTTTTAAGTTATGGACAAATTGAAACAAGAAATTTTATCGTAATTGTATTTGAAGTGTAAAGATTTACAATTGATCTGTTATAGCGCATAACTAGTAAGATAATTATTCATACCTGAGGAGTGTGTCCATGAAGTAAATGAATCTGTCATCAGAATGTTTTTTTACGGCTTATAAGTATTTCATGTTAATTAAAAATATAAAAGAATTCGTAAGATAAAATGTATTCTTCAGAAATAAAATAATTGTTTAACTACTACAGTAAGCAATTTACCAAGTATTATAAAATGGATCTAAATCTTTTTGGATTGTACAGATCGAGTGTTCATATAATTTTCAGCCAAATAGGGATTATTAGACAGATTGTTTATGAACAGAGACATCATCTGTTCCAAATACAATTTATAAAAGTAGTATGACTATAAATACAGTATTGCTAGCAATAAAAGTTATCTTTTTATCAGTGATAAGTAATCCTTATAAATATATTCACTCAAATGGCACTTTTTCTATAGCTTTTACCATAATCTTTATAAGTAAGAGAATTAGAACGGATTATTGGCTGTTTTATTTTAGATATTTCTTTAATACTTTGTTGGCGATCTAAATGTAGGTGACTTTTTGAACAGTTAGCATTGTACTGTTTATCATTTGTTTGATGGCTGGTAATACTCCTTGACTGAGTATCATATTTTTTAGTCAGTGTTTCAATTAGATCACCTAATGAGCTCGGTACATACGTGTCCATATTTATCTAAAAAAGAATATCAAATAAATGATGAAGGTGATTATAATACAATACGTTATATTCATAATCAAACAGTGATTATTCATACGAGTTGCATCAATTTAAAAAGAATATAAAGTATTAACTTATTTTAATGAACAATTTCAGTAATAAAGATCCATATTACTATCTGGCTTCACAAAGCTTCTAGCAACACATTTCATGAGAATATTGAAACTTCCTATTGACAAGCCTTTATATAAAAAATAAACTATTTTAGACCGTGTGAATGAACCAGCGGAGACGAACCTCCGAATATGCAGTTATAGTTTCCTTGTCGCTTACATTAAGCAGTAGTGAGTTTAGATACCCTCGCTTACACAAAAATTCTACTTGATACGATTACCTCGGTACTATAAATCCCACCTGTGGAGAAACGTGAAACTAAAGTAATAAAAATTATTAACCATGTATAAGTAAGAGTCTATGATCATATTTCCTATTGGATCAAACAATAAAAGCATATACTCTACGGAAAGTCTCATTTTTTACGCAGTAGTTTCTAACTAATCATATTATATATATATATATATATATATATATATATATATATATATATATATATATATATATATATATATATATATATATATATATACTGTGCAACCTAGTGACAGAGTGGAAGTGTGTTAATCAAGCCTTGAGTTACTGTTATTATATGAGGGTCAAACGTTAAGTTTCTTCCAGCTAAAGCAGGCCAGATGAGAGAGTACTGAATGACTGCTTCTTACTGCCAGGTCACTCAAAAGTGTGATTATAAATTAGTTTTTAAACACTGGTTTCCAAAATAGTGAGGAAGAAATATCTAGCATTAATTGGGCTTTAGTGGTTGCTTAACTATGATAAACATCACTGTCAATTGTACAAGTTAGATAAATGAATTTTACCTTGCAAAATATCAGCAAACCTATAGCAGCTTTCAAGTGTTGGTGAAACACACTGTGATTGAATTCTGTAACATCAGCCTTCCTCTCTCGTGGAAGTGCTTTTGTCTTACACTGATCAACTAATTTAAGTTGAAAGTGTTGAAAACCTGTTAATGCTTTATTCAATGGACTATTTGAATTTATTATGCACGATGCAATAACATTCTTCATATTTTTGTATGACTTTACATCATTGTCACACTCTTTTCTGCGACTCTCCGTATTTATTCTAATACAAATTGATTCAGGTAAACAGATACGTGAAAATGTAACTTTACGAGTGGATAGAGAATCTAGCATAAGTTCAGAGCTACTTCTCGGCATCGAACTGAAGCTTGAAAACATGAGAGTTCTTTCCTTATCTTTCCACATAGATGAGAATACATGAGATGTTGATATCGTTTTAGATTTTCTTAGTGTATTCTGGTTATTTATTGTTAGATTATCTGTAGAAACAGATGAATTGTTTGAGTAAAGAAGATAGCGTACTACATTACGTTCCTCTGGAACTTGGCAAAAGCGATTCGATGTGTTTGTAGCAAGATGTGAAAATTTAAAAAGTGGAGCTTTGATCTCAGCCTGAAATTTCAAAATAATACTGAATGATAACGATAGTAATCACAAAGTTTATAATAGGAAAATCGAAATTTTATACATAAAGTCATGTTTTCCAACACGTGCGTTAGGATTTTGGTTCATAGGGTATTAACATCCATTTTTTGTCTAATAGTCTTTGATAAAGCTCTCATAACTCAAAAAGAAACTGTAAATTTTTATATCGCACAGTATCGTTCTATTAGGCAAGCTTATGAGTAAAAAAGCTGTTCGAAAAATGAGATTGTAGGCTGAATGTTTGGTAGGTATTCATATTAGATGTCGATATATTTTGAATAAACTTAAGGCTTTCATTAATGTTAAATGGTGTTATATGTTCACACTAAAAGAAGTTCGATTTTTACTGTTGTTGATATAATAGTCACATGATATAATACAATTATTTGTTACTAAATCCGTGACCAAAATGGAAATTCCATTTGAGTAAAACGCGTGTCTTCCATGCTCAAAAGTAATTGTCACCCTAGGTGATTGCAACTATTTCAATCAAACTTCAAATACACATTTTATTATACATTTGGGCTTCCGGTTAGTATCCCCTTCCTTCATCGGCTTTATCTGTGAGTATTTGGTTCTGTAATCAGTGCTTTGTGTAGTCATATGGGCTTTCTGTTGCATGTGCTAATTATGAAGTGATCATTACAAGTAAATATAAAGTACTTGAATTCGGCTTGAGAACTCAGGTTTAACCTTTAAACATATTTTTCTCACAGATTCAGTTCTTTTCAACATTTGAGTGTCGTAAAAATCGCAAAAAGCTTAGTTTTCTGTCAGTCAACGAAATACGTGAGGTAGTTATACGTTTATAGCATCTGACGTACATTTAAAGTTGTGGTTAAGCCCTTTTATTAACTTATTTAACAGATACCATCATTCGAATAGAAACTTGTCTGTAACATCGTACTTTTATCATTGCTGTCTACTCCTTACACCACAAAATATCGTTCATCGTGGCAGTCGCTGGTTAAGCATACGTAGCACATATCCCAACCACTTCAACGGATGAAGTTTCAATACTTCATTGATTGTTCTACCATCCTTACCTAGTACCAGTTTCCTAACAACGGAATTGCTTACTCGATAGTCCCAAGATAAACGAGCAATATTTCGGAGACATCTATGATCGAAAACCAGTAACCTACGAATATCTTCTACTCTTACTGGTCATGTACGAGGTTAATGTAATTCTTTGATAATCCTTTCAGTGACAGACACTGTCATAGAACCTAACGATCAACAGTTTCAAATGCCACCTTAAGGTCGAGAAATAATAGTATTGTGGCACATGAACGTGTGTCTATGTTATAGGACCTGACGAAGTGTGAATATCTGGTCTATACAACCACCTCCAGGTCTGAAACAGGCCTGGTTTTCTCGAGCCCTAGTTGTGCGTCTAAGTATTATTGAACCTACTATTTAAGACACTATATTAGACAAACTGATTCGTTTGTGATTGTCACAAGAGGACTTCTATCCTCTCATACAGATTATTAGGACAATCAGTGATTGAGACCAGTCAGATGAGATTACGTCCAGTTCCTGAATTCCGCTTGAGATTTCAGTCAATCTAACTGCTAAAACTGGACCACAACCCTTAAAAATCTCAGAGTTAAGCCTATCACTGCCAGCTTCTCTCCCTCGCTTCAGATTTCCTACAGCTTTTTCAACTTCATCAGTCAGTCAGTCAGACAGATGCAACGTAGAACTTCGTACGTAAGTGCATCAGTTCATGTCGCCATACCACATCAGAACAGAGATGCAATTGTCAATTCAAATCCACTACTAGAAGAGGTAGTAAAGGTATTAGAAGTAATCGGAGAGGTTAGGATTAGAGGATATTATTCAAGAAGTATGATTCAGTACGAAAAGTTTACAAAGTTGAAGAATTCAGAAGATTAGGATTTGAGAGAACACAAAGAATAAATGCACTGGCGCCATTGCGAAAGATTTTGAGCCATGTCATTCAAGGTCTCTAACCATCGATTATTATCATCTCGCGGACCCCAACCAGGTAGTCGACAATTACCGACATGGCTAAGTCCACTCGTCAATGACTTCATGGATTTCTGTCATGTTTTGGTTTGGCCGCCGCTAACTTTCTTCCAACCTATTCCTACACTACAAAACAAAGCTCGACGAGGCAGTCGGTGGTTGGGCATACGCAGCACATGTCCCAACCACCTCAACTGATGAAGTTTCACCACTTCATCTATTGATCTGCCATTCTTACCTAGCACCCGATTCCTAATAACAGCGTTGCTCACTCGGTTGTCCCACGATATACGAGCAATGCTTCGAAGACACCTATGATCGAAAACCAGTAACCTACGAATATCTTCTACTCTCACTGGCCATGTTTCACAGCCATAAAGTAAGACGGAGCGAACTACTGCGCAGTACACTCGTCCTTTAGTCAGCAAACGGATATCTCGCCTACGCCATAAGTGATGCAGGTTGGCAAAAGCCAATCGAGCCTTCTGTATCCGTGCCGAGATTTCGTCAGTCACCAGGCCATCAGCACTGATGAGACTACCAAGATAAGTGAAGCGGTCTACACGTTCGACTACTTCACTCCCTATCACTAGTTCAGGTGCCGATGCAACCCAATCTTGAAGCAACATTTCGCATTTCGAGGGGGAAAACCGCATCCCGAACATGCTTGCATTGTTGCTTAGGGTAGTCAGAAGACTCTGCATTTTGTCAGCGTCTTCACCAAGTAGCACTATGTCATCGGCATATTCTAAGTCAATGATCACTTACATGGTCGCCTAACTCTAGTTCTAGTCTTTTCTGAAATATATTTTCAACTTTGCTATCGTTAAGTAGAACCGTAAGAGGCTTTTTTGTGGTGTCTTTCCTACGTCCAGTAATACGCAAACAAATACGCGCTCGCACTAGAGCATGATCTGAATCTAAACATATGTCCTAAAACGAGCGACAGTCCTCTTTCGAACCCCTCAACCGGTGGCTAATGGCGATGTGATCTAGTTGGGTGCAGGGGTGTGACGACTTTGGGGGTCACCAGGTCAAGAGATGTTTTTCCTCATGCTTATAGTTGGTATTTTCTAGGAATAAGTGGTTATCTAAGCATAACTGCAACAGATGATCTCCATTACCTGTTCTTTGGGTGGCGACACCATAAGATCCACCCAGGTGTCTTTCCTTTTTACTGAGTCTACCTACTTGAGCATTGAAGTCACCAGCCTTTATTATTACATTTGAGCGCCTAAATTTTTGGAGGTTCGAAAGCTTTCTGCAAAACTCATCTTTTACGTCGTCTGAACTGAAGTCAGCTGGAGCTTTGGTAGAGACGACGAAGAGGCAACGGCGACTGTCCCTATCTTTACGAGTCTATACTGTACCGTTTAGTCAGAAAGGGCACAAGCGATTGTCTACTCGGATCCAGTCTAGCAGAGTTAGTTCTGCCCTTGGATTCAATGCTATACCTACACCAGCGAAACCAGGGGAAGCAGCAACAGGGCTTCTAGATACTTGAAGCATAAATTGAGTTGGTTTTTTATCTTGGCAAGGTGAGGTCAAATTGACGATTCCACTCGCATTCTGTATGCGCGTTATAGAGACGCAACATACATCAGTAGCGCGAGATTCCTGAGTCCAGCTAAGGAAACCTGATGCCCTATTCGGCACAAGGTCCAGATATTAAGAGTTCTAATATTTAGTTTAGAGCATGGTTTCAGGAGACCAGAAATAAGACTTAATGAACTCAATTTATTGGCATTAGGGGCGCGACTTTATCAAGGTATACAAGAAGGGTCAGTCATAGTGACCTGGGCCTATATATACATATGTACATTTCCAGTTATTTCGCTTTTGCTTCGGGTGTATGTGGTTTTTTCGGTGCGGTGTAATAATAAACGCTACCAACACTTTATATCAATCTGATAAATTGTATACACCGTTAGGAGTTATTTAATATCAGTTATCAGGAGTAGTAGTATACAAAATTTAGGAACAATATCAAATATCTACGGCCAAACGATAAAAACTAGCTACGTACTGTGGACATGATTTCGCTCTAAAAGTCTTACTAGGTTCAGTACCCATTTATTCAAAAGTAGTAGTAAGTGATAGCATATCACAATGCGATCCATTTTGTGTACCAGTTTGGTTATAATCATTTCTTACTTACGTTTTTCGATGTCTTATTTCACGAAAACTGGTCGCACCTTGTGTTTAAGCACCATATATTTTTCGAGAACATGTTAACCAAGCTTGTAGTTGTAAGTGCGATTAGTGAATGGAGTAGATATTTGTATTTACTTCCATCGCTCACATTTCACACACAATATTTACTCACTTTACAAATGCTGTGTATAAATAACAATGTTCTCAGTGGTATAGCTGGTGATAGAATTCTTAGCTTCGTAACTTATATTACGGTTCACTTTCTCAAATATGATTCTACTTACAGGTTAAAATCATATATAACTGCTCCGGAAGCATCGGTGTCACAAAAAAGTTACTCATTGTCTATCTATACCAATGTGAATATCTCTACCAGTGGACAAAGACTTACCTCAATTATTATATTTTCTGAATTTCTTGATAAATTTAATGGATGTTGTTCCCGGAAATCAGTATTGCTTTTCTTGAAACTAATATTTTCTTGGCTTCGGTGTCGAACTTGGGTTAAATCACAGGAATTAAGCTTTGTAGGCGTTGACTGAAGACTTTTAAAATCGACAGCCGTATATACTGCAGTCACTCTACTGGCACTGGCATGTCTTTGGCGTTTCGGCGTTGTGGCTGTTGCATTAACTGCCCGTCGGTACCGTTTGGGCAGTTTATATGGTTTCACAGTGTTATGTTGATAAGCAGCAGTTTCCATGTTTTCTTGATTGGTTACCAGCGACCTTTCTGGATAAAAGATGTTATTTTTCATAAAGTTGATCAACTGTAGAGTATAATTCCATGGTAGGTAAGAATGAGCTTCTTCGTTTGAACTTATTGGCCAGTTCAAATTTGTTATCCCGTCATAAATTTTACCAATTAACTCACATTCTGAACTAATATCTAATGGATCATAGCAGCAAGCGCACCTTAAATAACTACTTAGTTGATTCTTTATATCGTTCGAATCAGGATCAGAATTTGGAAATAGTTTCCGATATTTATGTGCTGTAATTAGTTTACGGTGATAACGATTTATAGTAGGTATTCTCAGTAAGGCGGGTTTCAGAATATACCTACAAACAAACGTGAAAGTCCTGATATTATTGATGTTTAGTTTGTTCAGTAATATTTTGTCTTATTGTCTAGTTGACATCGCAAAAGATGTAATTACTTTCTTGCCTTAAAAATATACTGAAACTGACTACCGTTAGTGCAGTCTGGTTTTCCGTTTACATTTTTTAACAATTCCACACATTTTTTCCCAATTATCAATTTGATAAAGAGAGAACAACAAGAAGAAGAACAAGGTTGGCTGAAATATTGTTACGTTAATATTTCAAACCAATACATAACATCTCGAATCCTACAGTGGAAATTTTTAATCTTAAGAGCATCAGACAGCCTTTGTAAGCTCATTGCATAATCAAAAATTTGTCATTCTAAAACCTGATAAGGGCCTTGAAGTAGTTGAAGTGGATAAAGCAAACTATGTTAACAAATTAGAGATAATTCTTCTAGATTCCTAGTTGACTGCTCAAAAAAGAATATGATTGAAACAACAGAAATATGTGTTACAAAGAAGTTAAAGATCTTTTGAGACAGAATTTACTTATTAATCAAACACTTAACGAATTGAAACCTCGAGGATCCAGATTACTTCACTTATATGGGCTACCAAAAATACACAGACTTGATGTCCCCATCGAATTATCTTATCGATGATCAAGTCTTCATCTCGCAAACTTGCAGGGTGATTAGTTGGTCATTTAGCATCTAGTCGCTCGAAGTTATCCGTCCATATTTTGATAGACACCTTTCAATTTATTCATATGTTAGAAAATGTTAAAATCCTTGGTAGATTTCTAGTTTCAATTGATATGTCATCACTGTTTACCGTAGTCCTGCTACAAGAGACTATACATATATGTCAGCACGCTAAATTACTCCCCTTACCGAAAGGTGAATTCAATTAATTTCTACTGTTGTGCCCTAAATATGTCCAATTTCAATTCGACACTATCATATCCCATCAAGTTACCATGACTACTATGGGCGATTCACTGGGCCCACTCATGGCTAATATCTTTCTGGCGAACCTAGGACAAATAGTTATGTAATCGACAATTAACGGCGTAACTTTGAGATTGAGACAATCAAATATGGACAAATGCTCGTCTTATGCTACCTCCGATTGTGTTTATCAGTTTACATATACGCACCAACTTACATACATTGTAAGAATGGAAGAGTTTTTATCCGCACATCCGAACATATTCCAGCAAAGTTGAGACTAAACGGCTAAAAGATTTTTGACAGCATAGCTACGCGTCACCTACTACTCGACGGATCCAAAATTGTTACGCGTTGAGGAAGCTGTTGCAACAACAATATTTAAATCGTATTTTTGTATCCAAAATAAACAGTTATCAATCGTGTCTATTAGTGAAGACTGCTTTTTATGTTTCCAAAAAAGTTCAGTCGAATTTCTAACGTCTTAATCCTAATTTATGAGTTTTACTCAATTATTCTAATTCGCATAATCTGTTGTCTCTTCTTGAATATTCATATATTTAACTTACAGATGGGCAGATGTTTGAACAATTTTAATTCATCCATTTTATGATCTTTTAATATTAGTCTATCTCCATATTTTAATTCAGATCATTCTTAATAATGTGAACTTGCTTAATTTTAATGATTAATATTATGGTTTTAGGTTGTAGGCAGATGAAGAAAATCCATGAAATTAATAGATTCATGTTATTCTACCACGATATCTATTCTTTCTTGATTCAATTTTTACTATAAGTTTGAACTCTTTATGATTGACTGAACACAATAAGCAGATCTCGATATCATCAGAACCAATGATTACATGTTACTGAAAAAGACTACTTTCTCAAACCTATCTTAGCTAAACTGAAAATTCTGTACAGGGAGCTAAGCAGATTTACGTGTAGTTTTTTATCGGCTTTAGGCATCAAATTTGATTGTTATTTAGAAATTACGCGAATGGCATTGAAACAGAAAAGTTAATTTCGAATTTTAGGATTTTGTCTGTAATAAAAGAATCAAAAATTATTCTCACCCATTTTCAGATAAAGCATAACTGTTCCGTAGTTCATCCATTTGGTTGCACTTCATTAATTGTTGGCGAACACTAACTGGTTTTTCTAAGTTAACTGCGGCTACTGATATATCTAGTCCATATGGGATTAATTGACACCCAACAGAACGGAAAAGCTGGTTTGAAAGAAACAAGCATCAGGAAAGAAAAGATCAGTATTTAGGTCTATGTATAATTTGGGAGATAAAAGGTTTTGAGTTTAGATTTATTAAGATCTTGATTATAATTATATTATAAACGTTCAGAAGACATCATGGATTTTTTAGTCTAGTTGAATTGCTGTGAAAATAAAGAATAAAGTTGGCTTTAGTTTCAAAAATTATTCCAATTAGAAATACTGGGTCTCAGTTGGTCGTTTAGAATTTCAGGTTTTTTCGTTAGTTTTGCCCAGGTAGGTTGCGAGCAAAATATTTTACTTGCGTACGGACTGATTAACTTGACAGTGAGAAACTAGCATATAAATAAAGAATTCAGTTATAAGCAGCGATTACCATAAGCTTTTTTGACTCACCAAGGTCACCAACAAAGCAAAGCTCAGGGTTATGAGAGAAAATTTTAGGGTTAACAACGTTAGTACGGATAACTTTCAAAGAACTCATGGGTTACAAATAGATCACATCGGGAATAAACTCTTATGTACTACATAACCAGTAAAAACTAAATCTTATCGAGAGTCAATAGCTTGAAGGAGCATCAGATGTTGAGGCTTTATACAACATACTGCAGCGATAACGTGGTAATAAGTGTGTGCAATTTTCTTGTAAGGGGACTGACTGGTTTGTTATGGAATACAACGAACTAAACTAAAACAATTACCGTATTTATTCTCCTTCCTAAGTATACGATAGTCACGGATCAGTAAGTCGCTACTAGCCGAGTCTTATGTATTTTTCTCTGTCATACTGTGCAGGTTATGTATAATGTATTAAGAACTGATCCACAAAGAGCGGCCTGCGTCCTGCCAAATCGCAAATGATTAAGTGCTTACATCCGTCATATACTTGGAAGCCTTCAAATACATTTTGGGCAAAAAATGGGTGAATTTCCTCAAAACAAGACAGTATTCGAATTACTGAGCATTACAAAGCCCAAAGACCATTTGATCGAAAGTGGATACACCAGAGTAGCTCACAAGAAAGTGTTTTACACTAACGCCCAAAGTACAGTAAACACTATCAATTAATTCTTCATTATTTCAAATTAGCAGTAAGATTAAACCATAACATTTATTTTGTTGATCAGTTATGTTAGACTCATAACTAAAGTCAAACTGTCTGACTCTCTGATTGGTTTCAACCGCTAGTCATCAAATACACACAAATTGTGTCACGTTGTAACTTAAAAGAATTCAATGAAGTCATTAGGGATGACCATTAAATTTATTGAAAGTCATAATACTTTCATTTTCGAACTCTGAAAATTTCAGTCTCCTTGAAAAAAATATAAAACTGATTAATCTAACAGATGGACACAGAAAAAGCTTTGTCAAACATAAATTTTGTTTATGTACTAATCAAGCTATTGTTTAATCTCACAGAAAGATTATACTGACTTCAGTAGTACACTGCGGACATTGTTATTGTAATTATTATGGATCAGGAATCAGGATTACAATACCTTATAATTTGTTTGCCGATGACATGCCCCATCAAACGACTAATCTTTCCGAGAATTTCACAACACCGATAAAATTGTTTGATTTTTATCCCTCAATACTGTTCTCTGTGCCGAGGTAATAGTATATTATTTATTGGCTAAATAATGCCCTAATGACAACTAAATGTAACGTTGGAAAAGTCAGATAATGATACTTTGAAAACTAAAACGCAATTGTAGGAATTTTCAGATCTTAGTGAAGCATCTGTTTTTCCGCAACATCTCACTGAAGGCTTTCATACACTTTTAGTAAGAACATTATCAACCAACTAGTTATGGATAATCATGTTCGACGATGATTTAAAGTTCTGAAAACCTGCTAAATAGCTTATATCCTTCTCGCAAGTCTCCATTGTTTTGTTGTAATTATGAATCCAATTGGTAATAGGCAATCATGTCGCCAAACTTTCTATCGTTGCCTTGAGTTGTTATTTAACCTGCACACAAGTTGATCGGCTGCTCAGTTGGAAAACTGTGGGGACCGCACTAATGGATTAGCTCATTAAGGAAATTCAGTCAGCATAACATAAGCTACATGGCTAGAGATATTGGTCAGTAGCTTGAAGTGTTGGAGATTAAGAAGCAATAAAACTCATGAATCAGTAACTGATAGTCACAAAACTTGAGCTTACCTGATGAACATCCCATGACTTTTCTATGTCTGATAAGAAGACACAAGTTAAACGTTCTTTATTGTATCTACAGAGAAATTCAGAAAAAGTATAGTGAAAATAGAATGTATAAATTTTTTACTAGTCATTACTACTATTTTGGACTAAGATTAATTATTGTATTTATTGATTAACTGGTTGGAAGATTTTCACTGGGAGTAAAACAACCCTAATGGAAGATTTTTTATGACTTTTTTTCCTTAAGGATTTTATTGCATCTAAGTCATCTCTATTTTCGGGACTGACATCATCTGGAGGATTATAGAAACCAGGTAGCAGTAATAATTTGTTTCGTTGTATTTTGAATCCCTTTCCCAATTCAAATTCATGTACGTATGACTTAACTAAGGAAGACAAATATACATAAAATAGCCGAAAATTAAATATATTTACAAAATTATACCTTGCTAATGATTTTGTCATCTGTTTTCTAGATAATAAATTAATTAAGTCATCTGATGAGATATTAGTAATTCTTGATGCAATAAACCATTTTAAAGAATCGGTCCAATAATTTTTTGTGGACAACCGACCACTTTCTTGACTTTCCAAAGTTGATTGTCTTTGTAAAATATTAGAACTAGGATGTTTTTCTTGTTGAAATAAGTTGCTTAACGACGTAATCGAATGACGGACACTTGAAAATCGTGTTTGGAAACGTTTCTTGAAAGTGGTTTTTATAGGTGATTCAATATTTTTCAATTTATTCACTTTGTTCTCTGATGAACTGCTACTGATACTATCATCGGTGCTACTTTTACTTTTATAAGAATCTGTATCTGATGATAATGAAGTTTCTACAGTTGGTGATGAAGTTGTTGAAACACTGTTATTGGATAGTGAATCACTCGATATGCTACTTGCTTCACTTTCACTCCATGAATTTCTCAGTTTACTAATATTACTTGAATGAAAGCTTGATACAGATTTTTCGAAAGATTTTTGTTTTTCACTTGCAAATTTATTTCTTAACTTTTGTATACCACCACGGAAATAATTTAACTTGGTTTGGCCAGTTTGTCGTGGCGTAGTTTCGTGTGTAGGTGAGCCTTTCTCACTACGGCTGCCACTACTGCATGAACAGTGACCGCAACTAGAAGTAGGACTCCGTTTTTGTCCGCTTTCTGTTGATTTACGTGATTGTCTTTTTGATGTATTTAGGTCTTTTAGCTGTTTAGGATGTTGAGGCTCGGAGGATTTACAATTATTGTTGCTATAATTCTGCTTTGATTGTTTTTTCATAGGTAATGATGAAGCTTTTGAATGGAAATCATCATACTTTTGTTCTCCATCTTCATAAATATCTAATTTAGGAAGAGAATAGAACAAATAAATCACTATAAGTTAACCAGCAGTGTCAATTTTAGCAATGAATTATTCTGTGAGTTAAAGTTTAAGCCAAACAAAATTTTTTGTGTTAAAATCACTGAAGATCTAACCTGCCTCGTTCAAAGTAACTGTATAATGCCACAGTAGTTCCCTTCTGAACAAAGACAAGCTTTAAGGTCTTATCAATATAGATGATACTATAACTTTCAATCTAGACAATAAGAAAACTTTGCAGATGTCTTACTAAATAGGTTAGGAGAAAAACACAGACTACAAATCTTTAACATCATCATTATCACTAGAAAATGAGAAAATGTATCTTTTGCAAGTTTTTATCAGCGTTAAATGATATTAGTCAGTGAAATGCTAACAATAGACAAATGTAGAATCAATTGAAGTAAGACTGTTCAAAATAGGCGAAGTAACTTATGATGACTTGTCTAATCAGAATCCTTAAATCAAATTAAATCAAGATTTCCAATTTTACGATATATATACAACTAATAACGCAAGTGTTTCGGCTACATTGTAAACTACAAAAGTATTTTGCACATTACAACTTGTACATAAAATAGGTCCAAATATTCATAACATCTTTTCAATACTCTGAATGTACTGGAATGTGTGCATGCCATAGAGTAAATTATTTCATATTGATTCTGAACTGTTATAGATTTAAGAAATGAAAATTCAGTATCTTTTTGTTAGTCGCAAAGTTAGATAATTAAACCTAGATAGCCTTTGATAATGAGATAAAAAATTTCTTTTATTTAAACTTATCCACCTGTGGGCCTTTTGTTTTCATCGGAATCTAATCGGCTGTTCACATGTTGTAGATGTTTATGATTATTCAAAGAGTCCATCGACGTATCATGACATTCGGAATTTCGTGATGAAGAATTGAATGATAAATTGAATTTCGATACAGATGCATTTGATAAACGGCGGGCATATTTTACCGTTGCAGCCAATAGAGTATCTTTTGAACTAGTATTTATTTCTTCTGGTTTAGGCGAAGAAGTACCCATTCGATTCTTAAACCATCCTTTGTTTTGTTTTATTGTAGTTTTATCTGCCTGACAGTCCAATTTTGTTGGTTGAACCTCTGGAGCATTTGACCCTACTATATGCAGAAAAGTAAAGCATAATTATTAAAGGATTATACTATTACATCAATTTCGATTGAATCAGGCTAATTTTAGAAGCCTTCATTAGCTTGAACTGTTTGAATTTAGTGTTAGGGATGCAACCAAATTAATTGCACAACTTGTCACTAATTATAATTAATTACCGTTTGATTGATTCATGAGATAAACCTATCCGTAAGCCATTAAGTTGTGCTCTTCAGTTCTACTTAAACTAGATCTTAAAATATTTATTTTTCGTTTTGTTGGCATAGCTTTGTTTTCGAATTGTTATCTGAGTTAACGTTAATTATTTCGTCATTTTCCGTTCCATTTTGCTAGGCTGTGTAAATTAATGAGAAGACGAATCTCATGTTGGTCTTATTTTACTCGTGTATGAAAACGGATCAGGAATATATATTATCCTTACTTTCTGCTGAAAACGAGTCTATGTAAGAGGTTTTCTCTAAAGGACTAAGTAAATTAGAGAACACAGTAAACTCACATCTAGGTGAAACTATTTAACAAAAAGTGTATTTGTCAAGAATTTGGAATTTTTCTTTTTTTAAATAATTTCATTGAGATTATGTAGCAAATTACATGAACTGGTGTTCAATGAAAATTGTTAACACTTCTCAGCATGGCTACACAGTTATTTGCCTAGTTTAAACGGTGCGGAAATCCCGTATGAATCAGTTTATTCTCAGTTCTCAAGATTTTGCTAAGAACTGTCAGTTTCAAAGTCCTATAAATGACAGAATGAACATACATATAGATTGAAAAGCCAAACACCGATCTATGTTAAAATTATGTTCGGTCGTTTTATCTTGTCTTGACTAATTTTGGGGTCATTATACCGATAATTAGCTTCATTATAAAGTGAAAAACAGTAATGAAAGCATGAATTCCTCCATATATTTATCTGAGTAAAATGTTACGATTAATTTCTTAGGCACTCTGAGACTACTCACAGTTGACAACCCGGAGCTATTTTATCTAAGGAACGCTTGAAAACTAATGAGAATGCCTTACTCGTAGAGTTCAAACGTAGCAAGAGTGAGACAGATAGCAACGATGACAAGGAATGATAATCATATAGAATCATAAATTAAGTGGAGTTGAAGACGGGAACTAGTGAAACCTAGTCGAACATATACTCCCCAATAAGACTGCTGTGCCTACATCTGTTTGAGCCATCTTTTATTCAGTATTTCCCCTAAAATTTTAAAATATGTAGCATCCATAGATAATTCAATTCAGGTTTGAGGGTGTCTACTTTCAGCAGATTAGTAGTATTTGATTAGTCTTTTATGGTTTAAATATCTTCGCTTCAGTGTCACGAAGTATTTATCTCAATGGTTAGTTAGTTGCGATTTTTATACGTATTTCGATATCCGTTTTCTTTAAATTAAGAAGGGCTTTATTATGGGAATAAAGCATGACAGAAAGGTATGGAGGTTTAAGTGCTCATAAATTGTACTATTTATTTAAGTTGAAGTTATGGCTTGATAACACAAACAGAAAGAGCAAATTTCTTTAATAATCACTTCTGTCAAATTTTGTTAAGTTATCAGAATCAGTTGAAATAAAATGCACACTTTAATCAACCAGTCATTCTAGCCATTCTACATATAATTCGAAAACTTCAATTCCTCTGAATTTGCTCATATTAGTGAAATTTATAAATTAGAATAAAATCCAGGGAAGCAGTTTAATTCTGTATTTAGTGAGCTCTCTAAACCAACAGGACAGCAAAATGTTTGTACTTTACTATTTAATTTTGAGGTCGATATATTATAACGAACTGTATTTTATTTAAATTAGGTGAATTTGTGTTCATTTAATGTTAAAACCTTTGTGTAGTAAATTTTCGTATTGCTGATGAACATATAATATAAACACAAAGAATTCTGCTGATCTACTTGACACACTTGGGTCATACACACAAATTACGAATAATAAACCCAAGATGTTTGCAAAATAATCTAATGTTTATTTTGAAGAACTAATCCATTCCAGTATTTCCTATGTTTTGTATAAATATTTTCCAACGATTTACTACTTACATGTATCTTTCCTGTTTGATGATGGGGCATAACTTTCACGTGATAATGATCTTTTCTGGTTAGTTTTGTCTCCGCAGACCTTGGTCATTAAACGTTTGAGTAATCTTCTTTTCCTATATTCGTGTTTTAGTTGTGCCTTTCGAGTAGTGATTAGGTTATATAAAGAAGTAACCAGTTCACCTTCTTCTAGTTGTCTGTTTGACTGTCTATTAATTTCATCAATATTATCAGAGTCAGTATCTTTGAATCTTCCTAAATCATGTTTTGGTTTTTCAGATTCTCTTCTAATACGGAGCCTCCGTAAAATATTTGACTCTGAGCGACGTTGATCATCGAGATTCATAAGATTCGACTTGGAGTTCCGAAGTAGGTAGTGATAATGTAATGCTACACAAACATCGGGAGGAAAATCTGGCGTCGGTAATACTACAAGTCTAGCTAGACGTGGGTGTAGATGGCTAACTTCGTCTTGGCTGGAAAATGTGGCATTTCGATCAACAATCTTATTTGTATACATCCCGAAACCTTTCGGAAGGTAACCATTTGAATTAATTTGATCTTCTGGAGTTCCAGATTTATCATGTATTTTGTTCGACCTCAACCTGTGATTTGCTGGTGGACTGATTTGACTGCTATTTGTAGACGCTATATCTTGACTTGCGCTCTAAAAATATAACCGATTGGTAATAAATCAATATGACAAGAAATGATATATAAAATAATATTACTTATCAATTTCGTAAGTAGTATAATTCTACCCGTAAAACAATTGCATACTCACTGAGAAGAATTGTGGAGTGTAAGCCAGTTTTTATAACCGATTGTCATAACTTTGACGGCCAGTGGCATAAGGTAACAATAAGTATAAGTTTCATCCCGATTTGTAGCACTAATGAGTTTCCAAGGTTCCTCATGTGATCAAATCCAGAACGTTAATATTTTGTAGTAATCAAAATATCACCAAGCTTCTTATGCCAGATTGGAGGGTTTATTTCCACTTCAATCGGTTCATGATAGTTACACACTCAATCTATCCTTGAACCTTCTCGTATTCATCAATCTGAATAATATACTTACTACACTGGATGGATGCTAATGGCAATGAGTACTTGTGAAATCTTAATTTATAAAGTATAAATGATTGCAGAGCATATTTGGAGAGAAATTTGATTCGTTAGGTGTGATGGAATGACGATCACAATTAAATTACTAATTATGCATATTCATCCCTATCAAATTTAGTGAACCGGTTTCAGACAATCCTTTTTTATTGAAGAGGGATATTCAGTTAATTAGACTATTTAATCGATGCAAGTCGTAGTGATCAATCTTTTGTGTTTGTAAATGTTTAAATCTTTTAGTTAATATAGAGTCCTGGTATGAACATCACCAATGGGGTGGAGACACACCTAGGTGACTTATCTCAAATAGGACGAAACATGAGTCCTAAACTCCACTGTTAGCCCCTGATGGACCTTATCACAGTCATATGGTGATAACATTCACTTAGTTCGTGTATTCAAATCTCTCTTACAGTGAGATCATAGTTAGTGGAAGTGTTATGTTAAAAAAAGAAATTTGGCTACAAAGCTTATTAACAACATTAGCTGACCGTTTGAATGATCGTACGCTCTGTTGTTACATGGTGGAGAGATACATAACTAACTGCAGTTCACTTCGCTGCAACTACGTTAATTAAATTGTAGTTATTTCTGTGTACATAAATCAGTTGGACAACTAAAGCCGTCCTATGTAAATATAATGGGTATTGAACAAGTGCTTGAGAAAGTATAGAAAGTAGGATAAGCTTAAGAAGAAATTGTTTTCCATAACTGAAATTCGATTGTGTGTATATGTGTGTGTACACAAGAGAGAAAATGTTTCCTGTTTTGATGACACTTATGAATGTAAAGTCGATTTCATTCAATTGAACGTCCGTCTGTTCACTGTCTTTATCTTCCTCTTTGCTATTAGTCACTATTTCCGTGTAAAAACTGTTCTGTATGTAATTGAGTAAGTGATAATTTATTTATTCCCACCTATTCATGGTGCAATAAATCAATAATACTTGAACATCGATTTAATTTCATGCAAAATATGATTACTTGATTTGCGAATTGTTGAAAGTGAATAATTTCGAAACAAGATGAACAACCTTTGAATGAATGAACTTCAAATGAATAATCAACATAAACGAAACAATTAGCGAAGTTTTGTAAAAAGTACGAAATGGTATTGTCTTAGTTTTGCATTGTTTAAGAACATTCATAAATTACTTGTTCATGGTTAGTGGTTCTGTGGCCACTTTCTCACTACTTAATATGACTATCATAAATGTAGTTAGTTGAAAAGGCCTCAGGTGGTGTAAGAAAACCTCAGAATGTACATTGACTAATACCAAAATGTTCACTAAAGCATAAAAGAATATTCAAATTGTAATATGACTTTCAGAAATTTTCACTTTTTCAAATCGTTTTAACAACAGCTTGCAAAAGTAGGTTGTTGATCATTTTTGTGGCGATTCAACAAAACTTAAAACAAGAGTAAATAAAGATAGTTTCTTTCATTTAGCAGCATAAACCGACAGGAGTTTATACTCGAATAGATACAATTACACCAAGGTGTTAATTAAATGAATTTCCAATCAGTTTATATAACCATTCTTCTGTGTGAAGACTTAAGAAGTTTACTCATTTGTATAATTACTTAATCTCAATATTGAGGACATTTTAAACTTGGTCTACTAGAAATGATTTTTAAAATAATATACAGAAATTGACAAGACGAGGCGCAGGAAAAATGAGGCTGCTTCTCAAAATACTGAAGAGATGCATCACGAATATCGAAAGTGTAAACTAAAAGCTGAAACACAGTTAACGATGCAGTTATCTTACCTTTTGTTCACCTTCAGGATTTGTAATAAATACAGCTAACGGTGAAGTGACTTCTGAATTCTTCGGAAGCGTCATTTGAGTTAAGTGATTCTGTGATTGTATATTAATAATGAATAAAACATTTAATTTTGATCGAAAAAGCATGATCACTACTGTTATTAATTTAAAAAATAAACACTAGTACTGATGCAATTTTTACCATAAATAAGTCTGTCTTATTTGATGATGTTGATATTTCGAACGAATAACTTCTTGAATTCAAATCATTATTGCCTACTTATTTGTGATATGTATAAATTTGAAACTCTTAGTTAGGTTTATTGATGTTTTCGCATTGGTCGATTGTTCCACCTGATAATCAACCTTGTGAAAATAATTATTCTAGAGTTAGATTTCTGCAGCTAAATTTGTCTGAATCCTTGGTAATAGCTTCTAGTTTGATTTAGAGCAATCAACTTTGTACATCACCCTAGAGTAGGCGGTTCTTTTAAGTAGTCCGTGATAAAGCTAGTTTTAATCACTAAATAACATTATCTAAACCAACTATGCCGTTTAAGAAACATTCGACAGTTATTTAATTTTTACCTGAAACCGAGTTCGTGATGAGATTTCCTTGAACTTGTACAAATGTGGTGCGCGCTACTTATAAGTAGTATATGACGCGAGTGTAAACGTAATGTCTGGCAGCAGAAGATGAGGGAAGATCAAGAAAGGAAGAGTGGGAACACAATGGAATTTTTATGAAACGCATGAATAGTGAAATGTCAGACAATGGATTGAAGATGTGCAAATCAACGGTTACGATATGGTTTTCCTATTTTACTGAGTAACTCTGTAATTTTCGTTTAATACAATAAGGTTGCCCTCACCTGTATTCTCCTTCACTACACAAATACGATTATCTTTACTACTGTCTCTCTCTTTTAAAATATATTTAAAACTATTGAAATGGTAGTCATAATCTTGTCTATTCACACATACTAACCGGCATAAATCTGATCAACAAACAGTTTAATTTTTGTCACATAAATGAAGTTTACATTAAGAATTTAAGATGTAGACTAACTAAACTTATGACATTATATATATATACTATTGTCGTGAATAATTAAATAGAAAAAAAGAAAACGTTTTTTTTGTTCGTTTTCTCAATGCTAATTTTTATTCATGTTCATCATATTTTCTAGTCATTCTCAGTTCAAGTTGGTTTTATTGTGTGTGAATAAAATAATTAAACTGAATGCTTGAAATGCTGTTAAATATTAATGATGATTTTATTGAGCTGAATTATCGTTTTCATTGTAATAATATTTCATCCAGAACTAATGGAATCTTGAAAAAGGTTGTGCAGCTGTTTGATTTTATTTGAATAATCTACAAACTTTTCTAACTTTCAGATAGAAGATATAAGAGTAGAACATCAAGTTGCAAGATGGGTTCTTTTTTTACTTATTCAACGAAAAGTTGTTAATATTCAGTTTAATCAATTTAATCATTAAAATTAGGAGCTTTGATGTCAAGCAACCACTGAAAAGTATATTCTGAGGCAGAAACCTTTGCTATATAGTTGGAGACGAGGGAAATCTTTTACTGACTATTCTTAAGGTAGTGCAAAGTAGTTGCAAAGAATACTGAAGTTAGGTCTTAGTGTTATCATATACTCCCCTCTCGCAACTGATAGCTAACAAAATATAGCTTCTCAATTCAAGAGATTAGAACGATGGGTGCAATACTCAGAAGAATATTTCAACTGGTCTCCAGACACCTATCCTCACTAAATACCGTGGAGAGGATGTCACCATAAACCTTCATATCTTTAATGAAGAAGAAAAAGCCATAGTTAGTCTAAGAAGAGGAGGAGTAGTATACCATGATCAATTAACCTCAGATATCTTTAAGGGTCATGCTCTAGTCTTAGAGATCAGATTGACCGAGATATCAGATAAATTCTGGAAACTGAACTTAATCTCATTTGACAAATATCGATCGCTCATTTTTCTCATTTACTAGAAAGAACCAGAATCCTCTTATAACCAAAGAATGAATTTGACCAATATAGTATCTAAAGTACTAGCAACAATAATCTTCTGACTTTTAACTAGGATTTATGAACAGCGACAGTAAGAAAACTAGGTTGGTTTTACATCCGGATGTGGGTGTAACAATCGAATATCCGCTCTTTATCAAGTTCTAGAACTTACAAACTCCTAACTATAGTTAACATTCGACTTCTTCGAACAACAGATTTTATATTGATGTCCATCAATGTAAGGCGCATCAGAGAAGTACTTTAAGAATGGACAGACTCTCAATTCAAGCTCTATTAGTCGAGTTAAAGATTGTAAGGAAGCATCACTAGAATTTATTACATCAAGTAGTGCTTGCCAAGGTTTTGGGCTTTCTGTATTTTTAAAACAATTAGTCCCTTTTATAAATTTTGATAGAACAGTGAGAAGACGTAATTGATCTGAAAAATGTGATGTATTTGCGCTATACATTTCGAAAAATCTGGTCGAAATGTATAGCGCAAATACATCAAATTTTTCAGATCAATTACGTCTTCTCACTGTTCTGTATTTTTATTTAACTTCGTCATAGACACTTTTATAGGTAAAGCTTTCATCATGTGACATTGAGGAAGTGATCTCCTCTCGGGGGATTTGTTTGACAGATTAGAATACACAAACGGGATAGCTTTGTTAGGTGATGATACTGATCACCTTAGTTAAGACATCATCTCATTTCTTATGAACAGGCTGTACTTCTTCGCATGAGATAAGACAAATGAACTTGGTGGTTATTTCTTTGGTCAAATTACCGTACGAAATATGAAAATAATTGCTAGCTATAACCGTTTGTATTCTGATTAAAGGAAGTTTGATATTAGTTTTAATTGTCAAAAATACTTTAAAGGATAATGTAAAATCTCGTGAAAAAAATTATTATTATTATATGTGAAGCAGTTATAAAACTAAAGCGAACTAATTGCTTATCTTAATTTATTCTAACTGTCTGTAAGAACGTACAATTTCTGTCGCCAGTTCTTGTGACTGATCTTCTAAAATGCATAGAACAAAAACAATGAAAGAGAATAAGCAAAGAAAGATAAATTGAGTGTAAATGTTCTGTCAAAAATGTCATCTTATCAATTTTTTTCTTTTTAAACAGCTAATAAAATAATCAGCGTCATGTTAACTTATGTGTAATTAATAATTGTTCGTTTTTACAAAACTTGTGATAATTAACAAGTGACTATGTGATTTAATCTGTCTAATAAAAATCCATTTAATGGACAAGATTTTACAGTACAAATTTAAGACAATTTCTTATCTGTCATTTTATTGAGAAATATACGTTTTCAACATTTATCATTTTACTAGTATAGAAGACAGTACAAAAAGTGTTACTTGTTTCGGCGACTAGTTCATAATTGATGAGAAAAAACTTTTTTTTTGATTAATCAAAAACACAAAGTTGTAATTTAAAGAGGCACGTGTAACTCAACTCTGCAAACAACGGAAATAATAGCTTCTTTTATTGATTAAAAAATTACGCTGCATATCACCAAACATGGATAATATTTGAAGTTCCCTAGCACTTGTTTGCTTTTTCTTCTAAAACGTCCGTGGAAACTAAGAGGTACTGGAGAGCTGTTTTCTCATAGTATGGGTCTATTCAACAGTATGTATCTGTCATACCACTACGAAAATTCCTAGGTCGTTCAGGCTTCACAAGACTCACGGTATCGTAAACTGATTTAGTTCAAGCTAATTAGTATGAAATTTAGGCATTCACGATAGACCTCGAAGGTGCTGTATTCGAGCCCTGATGTCGTGTTGTGGATGCTCACTAGATGAAATGACATATTTAGATACTTTAGTGTATGTATCTTTTTATCAAAGATACACTTCAACAACCTCTAGTAGTATATTTTTGCGAAACATTTCCAAAAACATTCACCATATTTCAAATATTCGCCAGCAATATACGATTACTTTTGTTTTCAGGCAACTTGAGGTTCCTTTTTTCTTAAAAATTCGAGAAATCACTTTTATTTACGATACTCAGACTAAGTGCATATCATGTTTAAAGCATCTCGTTGAATATGACAGTGTTTCACGATTCTTTTCATTGAATAATGCAATCTGTTTGTAAAATTAGTTTTTTTACTAACTATCAAACAAACTTCGTTCGGCAAATAGTTTTAGGTACTCTAAACGAAATGGTTTAATTGTAAGGCCTAAATTCTACTTCAGAATGGTATCATCAAGACCTGTTTAAACGAAACTGAGGTAAAAAATGCTCTAAGAAAGGCTGATGATGTTAAACGTGAAGTTATTATAAGCCTTAGGATTATATCAACCAACATAGAGAATGCGATGACCACAAGAGCGTGCATCTAAGCTACAAATCTTCATCATTCCAAGATTTTGTCTCTTTGTTTATAGTTTTTAGTTTCACCAATCAATCCACATATCCCATGTAAGCAAATTTTCACATGATTAATATCACATAAATCCATGGGTTGTTTCATAGACATTTAGTTTTTAAACAAGGAATATATGCGAATACAGACGATACGTTTTTGAAGACTCCTTTCTTACTGATCACATCTAGGGAAGGTTTTATACATCTTTTTGTACAAAACGATCGTAAATTATACTAATTATTCTTGTGCAATTCACTGATCCAAACAAACAGTTTCACAGTCAACAGACAGAATTTATCAGCTATCGTACACATTATTAGTACGGTTATCACAGGCCTATTAATTTTTCAAATTATGTATTTCAAGAAACGGTTGTACATTTCGCTGACATAGTGAACAAACCTAATGTTTTCCTCTAATTCTCAGGTGATTTATTCATATGAATATCTCTATTTGGTTAAAAGAAATCAAATTTTCGAGTCTTTGCGACTAGTATAGTATACTACAAGTAAAATTATCTTTGAGACAATCATTTAAATAGACCGTATAATCACTTTTGTTTATGTATTGGGAAGAAAATGTCCGAGAATTCGCTTTAAATTACACGCTAAATCGATGAAACAGCGATTCAAAGGATTTGAAATTATCATAAATCAACCACCTACAAATTGGTTGCTGATTTATAACTGTGGATTACACAAGGTTTAAATCTGATTTCTTAATTTATTTAAGCATATAGTTATTGAAATCAGGTTTCATTTTCATATAAAGCAATGATAAATTGTTCACCTTGGCTGCTGTATTATAATTTAATTACCGAGCATGAAAGCAGTCATTTAATTATGTACTGACTGATTGCTTTTATTGCGATGAATTTCATTCGTAATTCAATGTAATATTTTATACAAGAAAATCAATTGATTTTTGTACGTCACATAACTTACCGGATAAGGATTTGGTTGTTCTAACTAGACGAACACTTAGGAGGATTCTATTTTTTAACATTTCCGGTGATGGTAAGTGACGCTAAAATTAGGAACAATAAAAAAATATCATCTAAATAAAAGTTAACTGATTTCGAAACATATCATTTTCTACATCAAAAATGCTTGTCGCGCCCTAAACAATGTATACGAAAGAGCACATAATAATTAGTTTAAAATGATAACCAAAATCTCTCATTTCATATACAAACAAACATTGATAGATGAATTGAAAGCAAGCTGTCTCAGGGGTGAGATAAACATAAACTAATTTACCATAGTTCTGACAACGATCGAGTGTAACGAAAATGATAAATGCTGAATATTTGTTGAGAAACTATCGATGATGAGGTGGGGATTCAGATATCCTTCGAAAAGCAATATTTAAGAAAAAAACATAAAAACCATGATGCGAAATCCGAAGATATGAGTTTAAATGAAGTTTAGAAATGTGGTATTCAAGGTCACATATGTTTCTTGTGCAGTTTTATAGGTCTCATACTTTGTTCTAATTAACTAGTGAAGCTTATTGTTTGTGGAAAGTTCTTCCAAAAGTTAACAAAAACATGCAATTTCACTAACATTCAGTCTTATATTTCTTCAAAATATAGCCTGGTAATAGAGTTTCGTAATATGTATATTGGTTAGTGTATAAATCTATGTTGAGAGAGCAAAATGATTAGTTTATTGTAACATGTTGGTACTTTTTCCGATTGTATTAATGACATTGTTGACTTTCACATTAAGAGGAGAGACATAAACTAAGAACAACATTCTATAGAGTTACTCCAAGTAATATGATGTTTGCTTGTTGAAGTACGGTTTAGTTTACTCCTAGTTGACTAACATTCTACTGCTTTAGGCATTTAGTTATTTACGATTCAACAAACAACGCTAAATGACTGAGTAATTAATCATTTATATTCTTATTTTCACGCAAATAAACTTTTTGTTTAATCGTTTTTTGTTGAAATTATTGTAGTTAAGGTTTCATTTCGCAAGTTTTGTAATTCAGATCTAAGCTTTTGTAAGTTTCATAGTATTGATAACTGTTTCGTACTTATTATCCACCATTTATGTTATTCAGCACTTTGGTTATGTCTTTTGTAACTATTTTCAGCATACAACTTCAGTTAAAAGGCAAATATTTATTATTGTTTATTATAGTGTAGAATCACAAAAGACTATCACAAGTGGTTTAAATTATTAAATCATAAGATTGATTTTGTATTTAAAGTATTATCTTTTGATATTCAACCGTCTACATTAACACTTATGCAAGCCTATCGGATGAGATTGGTGTTTGAATCTGTAAATAATCCAATGAACATTACAAATGTTAAATTATTCGGTGGTGAGTACCTGATACAGTACTAATTGTAAACTAAGTCGAAAAATGTATTTGATACTTACTGCGTAACCTGATCTCAAATATGTAGAATGGATTTTCTTTTCAGGTTGATTATTGCTGTTCAAATCGTTGGTATAACTTGGTAGAGGAGTTACCATTATCCACTGTCCAAGATATTCTTGTAGCAAATTTGCCAGTCTACATTGTTGCTCTTGACTGTGATTCAAAGGTTTAATTCAATGTATTTGAAAAAAATAATCAAAATGGAAGCTAACTTAATTTGTCTTAAATAAAATGAAAACAACCAAATACTCACTAATCATGTGTTCATATCAAATTCTCTGAAATGTATTCTTTATTTAGTACTGATTCTAACTAATTCGTGTGTGGTAGTATGTATCTTTTACAGCCACGAACGGATTCACAAGTATATATGAAAGTTACATTACTGTAGGAATTAGAACCGAAGAAAATATTTTTTTGTCCTCTAACCTCAGTCCTGAAATAGTATACAAGCTTGATGTGTCTAATTAAAAATAAATCTAAGTGGTTTATAATGTACTATAGAATTTTGATGCTTTCAAACAAGATTAAACATATTTTGAAATATTATTTCGCTTCATTTAGACGTGAGCTTAAAGATCTTAAACGTGTTTTCGAATTTCGTAGCGTTTTCATTTCAGTCATTTGATAATAGAATGGTCATATATGTGAATCGAAAAAGATATCTAACGAATCTCAGCTTGATAATTCAGTCATCAGACAGGGTTACAAGCAGGATCTATTGACTGAGAGCTAATTTTCAATAGGTGACTACTCACACTTTCACCTGAGGCTAGGAATTATAAACCATGACATAGTGGATTAACGTCTGGTCTTTAAAAACATTCACTATCTGTATGAACTGACAAATAAAACAATAGTACTATTATTTTCGGGCATCTGAACCTTACTTTGAACTGTAAAAGTTTTGTATAACTAATTACTTAATTCGTTAATCCTGTTTGTACTTCAATAAATTAATTTGTAAGTCAAGTATTGAAGTTATCTTGTGTATTCAGTCATGGCTTATGTAAGGCAGCCTTTTTGAGGAGAAAAACTATAAATCAAGAGCAATCAATCATTACAGACACTTACCTTAAACCATACAAATTTATGATCAGAATGAATGGATAATCAGATATAAGAAATACATTTTCACTCAATACTTGTAGGACTGACTGAAAGAAAGGAGTATGGCACATCGAAAAACCATTAAATTATGTTATATATATTTATTAATATAAATATCAGTTGTCATTTAGATATACTTTATCTTATATGTTACATAATATTAATGGTTACTAATTCTTACAAGACTTTGAATGAAAGTTACTACGAATGAAGTAGTATGTACTGCTTTTACGCAAACACTTACTAAAACACCTTATTTATGATCACAGTAAAAATGAAGTCAATGGGCATGCAATTTAGGATAAGATCCAATCGAGGTCCATTGCGTTTGGTCAATTATTACAAAACGTTTAAATAAGATTATATAAACTCTCTAAAAGATATTACCAGTATTATTACTACCAAAACTACCAAAGCTATTTACTCAGTTTCAATACAATTATAATTTGAATAAACTGTTGACATAGAATAATCATCACGCTTCTTCCATAATCATTACTGCTGTGAAACCGGACTGATTACACAATTATTGTGTCCATGTTACTAAAGTCAATACCTTGCAGATTAAACAACCCCTAAGACTTAACCCCATCAGAATGGTAATCGCTCATTGATTATGTTTAGCTCAAACATAATAAAGTATAAGATATCGTTATTCGTATGCCTGAAATCCGAACCAATGCACGTGGAAACGTTGTGCCGTCATTATGTGTCAATGAAAAATAACAAACAAATCACTATACAAAAATCATGTAAATAACATTATTTACCGTCATCTCTAACTGAGCGTTCACTAATTCAGGTCACGTAAACTCACAGTGTATAAGAGTATTAAATTGATAAAGCTGTTAACAAACTTTGTAAAAAGTTTTCAAAGAGAAACCTACGTAATAATCTATTTCCAACTATTCCTTCTAGTTTGATTCGCAATACTACAAACTGCAATAACGGATAATTTTTTGATCCAAAACAAATAAAAATTGCAGTTCTTTCTATGAGGTTTAGATCATGTGAGTATTCAGAGGATACTCTATTTTGGTAACTGTACCTGAGTCGTATTTAAAAAAACATAAATACGTGGCGCAACTTTAGTGAAATAAATAGAAAGCTATTTAAGCCGTACAGTATAACAGTAATTAGAATTTAAAATTAACGTTGCTTTTGTAATGTATACTATGAACGAAATGTAACTAGAGACTATCCGGCAACCGCTAGAAAGTCGTTAGAATCTTTTCGTTGTACGTTTCTGGGATTTTATTAAAAGATTTCTCTGTGTTTCGGAGATTGCTGAAATGGGTTAGTAAGATATACAGTCAATCTTTTGATATCATTGTGAATATGTTTGTGGATAGACATTTGAATTAGAGCAAATTGCTAGCTTGTGTTATTTTTTCATATACCAGCCACTTTATTGATGTCTTTCTGGAGAACAAAACTCAGGTACATCACAATAGATGTATGCAAATAAAATTACAAAACCTCTACAATACTGTGTCTAGAACATATATTGTATTATAAAAGTTGATCTAACTGAACACTAATATACTGTATTAGACATAATATTGAATAAAGTTATTATTATCATGGTTACGATTATTGCTATAATTACTATTACTAAAAATCCCCTATAAATAGGTGGCTATGCATCTTATACTAGGGTGAAGGCGGTTTTAAAAGGAAATTAGGAGACGGAGTTACCAGTGATCAGTACTTGGTTTCATTTTGTCCGACAGCACTCTACGATTAGAAATTGAACAGAACATCGTCGACAACAATTTGGTGATTACTTTTAAAACGAAAGATTAAAGGAGTACGCTAATGATTTTCCAAACTGTAATTTGTGCTTTCATTTATGTAGAGGATAAATAAGGGGCTGATGATGTCAGTTATAAACGAAACCTTCATTCATTGATATTATTTAATGAACAAATTCATGTGATAACTGTCTCAGTTTTTTCTATAAAACAAATAAGTGTTGAAATATGGTATGAGTTCATTCCTACGAGCTTTTCTAGTTTTTATCCGCCATGATTGTTTTAAACTAAGCTGGTAAAAGCACTATAGTTTAATCAACAGCATGGATTGGAGATGATCAAACGATTATAGAACTCTAAAAAACAGTCTTAGCTTGGGAGTCTTCAGAAGTGGTCAACCAAGACTATACATTGACTGGGTCGGAACAAGGACCTCCATGTTTCATGATGAATACTAGACCATTGGCTTAGTATCCAACGGTATACATTTCTAACTTCAGCCAATCTTTAATTCCTGACTGCCATCATCTATTGCCATTGATGATATTTGTTCCACACCCGATATTGGTGAAACACGTCAAAATGGATTTTCTGTAGAATTAAGGAAGTTGGCCATTAGTAAGTATATAATCATTACTACTTTGAGAGGTTTGTGGAGACTTAAAGTTTTGTAGTTTACAATGTGAAGTAACTCTAATTAGACAATCATCATACAATATAATGTTATTTAACTTAAATTACAGATATAAACCAACTCAGTCGTTCAGTGGTAGGGCGAGACATGAAGGCTCTTGGTTCGATTCAACAAGTAATCGGAGTTGCACACTGATGGGGGTCTTCATACTAAAAGGGGTGTTCAGTGATTTGTACTATTCATTCGTTTTGAAGCCAAAACTAAACTATTTCCACAAATCTTCTCTACTGAAAATAGCAGTATCTCTAAGTTAAGTGTATGAATTACCATTCATAGAATCCCATCACCTTAAACCAAATGTTAGTTCCAACATTTAGTCGGCGGTTGACTTTAGCATTGTCTGTCAGTTTTATACAAAATCTTACAACCAGTTTCGCTGCCCACGAAAATTCCTGATTTTAGCTATGAACGGGAATCATATTTAACAATACCTCACTCCTAGGTCAAACACATTGAAATAACTTGAGTTAATATGTTGGATATGAAAACTAGTGGGTATCAACTTTTATTAGTAGCATATATATTCCCTAATGTTTGTGATGAATTTTGAAAGAAATCATCGAATCTCCTTGTCTGAAGAGTTCGTTTTTACTTACAGTGTACTAGATGTAAGTGGTTCTCAGGTAGTTTGAGCTATTGCAGAATTTTTCAATTCTTATTTAGTTTATAAACTAATTTGAAACGTTCATTTTCCGATAATTGTAATAATAACAATAACTTACCTTCAATAAAGCAAACGGATAGTTCTTATACAGAATAGATCGCATTAAGTCAAATGTATCGCGCGAGGTTCTTTCTGTAAAACAAGTCGGTATTTTATTTGTACTTGTAGGCACAACAACCAATTCATTCGAGATGATGGTTTCGGTTCCAACTAATCTGGGAAAATAATAGCAATCTAAAATCAGGGCCCTTTAGTAGGGAAAAGAAGATGGGAAGAAAAGTTTTAGATCAAGGATGAAACTTAAATTTTCGATTCTTTAAGAAAAAAAGGTAACTTTTGTTTATTCGCTAACAGATTAGTGACAAACTAATTTTACATTCGTACGATCATGATTATGTACTACCATTTATCTCACTATTGATAAGTTTTCACTGCGTAACTGGCATGTTTTACACAACGGCAGAATACAAGAGCTTTAACCTTGATACATAGATAAATTTGAAATGTCTTATTCAAAACTTATCTAACAAATTTTTCAATACTAATGAAGCGGCCGGTTAAATCATTTGCAGAGCATTACGACTAGTAATAAGTAGTTTGTATTTTGATTATCATTTTGTTTAACTCTTGAATATGGAATTTGTGGACCTGTGATGTGAAATATGAAACTGATAAATCGAAAGATTAGTTCTTTACATCAATGTTTAGAAAAGTAAAGTCGCTTGCGGAAAATTATTTATTCAGAAAGACCATCATGAACACATCTTGCAGCGAGAAAAAAACAAATAAATTGGTTAAACAAGACATATATGACATATTTAAGTGTTGGAAGTTTGAATTTCGCATACGAATGAATGCAATCAAATACAGATGAGCTTGTCTCTAAACATTAAAAAGCAAACAACAGTCAAAATGCTGAAATCAAAACCAGTTAAAATTATATACACTGTCAACAGAATGATAGTTCTTAGTGTAAAATATGACTTACTTAATTCCATACAATAAAGCTTGACGGATAGTTCTAAGAATTTTATTTGATTTAGCTCCGTAACCAATCACAGAACATGGTTCTTTAGCAATTGTACTACCTGCATTCAACACCTGATTACATTGGGCAGTATGTTTACTACTGTTGTCTTCTTTATGGTTTAAATAGGCACTTTTAATGTAATAATGGGCTAATGGGTGTTGTGATGCATCTAGGCTCATTTTACTGGGGTCGTCAAATGTAGAAATTGATTCTATCGGTTGATTATAATTGGCAAAAGTTGAGTTGAAACTTACACATAATTCTCGATAGGTGGAAGATAAGAGTAATCTGTAAAATCCTTCATTAGTCAGTAAACCTAAAAGATGAAACATATCGAAAAAATCGATGCTAATAGTTTCGTTATAGAAACAAACATTACTGAAACCATCAGTTTATTATAGTAAATTACTAATTCTACATTTCGAAGATCTTTGGTCGCATTGAAAATGTTCACGATTCTCATAATTGTAGCTTCTACCAAAGACTATGTGTACGTATAATTTAATAGAATTTGATTTGTTAAACAGTACATGTAAACGTATTTTTATCAATCGAATTTAAAAAATCTACTCCGATTGTAACAAATCAATGAAAGGGCGCATAGACGTTAACAGTTGTTGGTATTGTTTCATATAGAATTTGTAGTTACAAACGATGGTACACATAGTACTGCATCTTTTAGAAAATACAAAAGTTTGAGTTTTAGCGTACTTTTATTTGCCAAGTTTCATCTAAATGATCATAAAAAGCCGACTTTGTATTCGGTTATTGTTCTCATTGTTATTAGGTCAGATAAATTGTTCTATACCTATAGTAGAATCAATAAGTCGGGCGTCTGTACAAAAAATCAAACCAACAATTTATTCCTTACGTTGTAGACAGTAAACAAGTTGATAATGAAGATTTAAGGAATTTTTGCTATTGAAAAATGTTTTTTGTTGCATGCTATTTCACAAACTAAAAAATCTGATTATACAACACAATTCTATTACCAAAATGGGTAAGATCATTTAGTCCTGAAAAGTATCAACCTACTTACTGTTACTGAGAAACGTGTGTGTAAATCTAGCGTTTGACATGGATTTCAAAATTAATGTACTGAAGATTCTATGCTAGTCCGTTGTACTATGTCGTTTGAAAGTTTCTCAACACTGGTTATCGACTATCTTGTTACAAGTCAACGGCTTTGGTGGTTTCTGTGATGAATAGGAGATAACACTGTCTTATTTTACGATGGAATTAATAAGTCATAAAGCATACTCCATGACCTATTTACTTAGATGTCGTGAGATTGTGTTCTTGTTCACAATTATAATTAAATACTCAAGAATATCTTGCAAAATATAAAACTTATTTATATAATATTTTATGATATATCCTAATTACTCATCAGTATTACATAGGAGCCACGTGGTATTGAAGGAATCTCTTAAGGAGCTCCATAAGTAAATAAACGACGGTTCGTACAATTCAAAACATTAGGAACTACAGAATCTTATATTCGATAAATTTCTTGTCAACTATTATCAATCAACGATTCAAGTCTTAGCTTTGATTAAACCAATTTTCATTACGTCAGACGTGGATGAATTTTAATTACGCGATAAACACCAATTGTGAATAAATATCAACATATATGATTCATTTTGAATGATAGAAACTTACATTTACTGATTGCATACTGATTGGTTTCATATCGTCGAACAATCTCACTAAATTCTTTATAATTAGTAATTACAGGTGAAGAGGTGAATTTCGCATCGTTCATTGAATTTCTTGATGCATCTTGATGCAATGGACTTGTTGTGGCAGATAAAATGTCATCGGTTAAATTGAGAATATCTGATTTTTGGCTGTGATTGTTTGTATAACAACTCTTTGATCGTTTTAAACTTGAATTATGTTGAGATATTCGTGAATGTGATTTCTGATATAAATTTATTTTTACCGGAGCCTGATTATTTTGTGTTCGTTCAATGTGTAAATATTTTATATGTCTCATTGTTTTTTGCTTATCAAATGATTTAATATTGTTTGAATTTTTCACGGAGATATTTGGATTTGTGAAATAGGAAATACTCTGTGAAGAAAGTAAAAGTGTAAAAATTTCATTAGAAACTTTTTAAAAAATCTGAGATGAGTGTCATCAACTAGTGTAGAGTAGTTCACTTGGTATTGTTTTACTTATCTCAAACTCATGACGTATTTTGAGATCAAACTATCACGATTTCTAAAGCATTCGATCACGGACTGATAATGGCTAGACAGTAATTAAACTCTGAGGTGTATTCAAGAGATGTCTCATCTAAATATATAAACATGACTGTACACAAATTGATTGAACCTGCCATGAAATTCCTCTCTAAACTAGAAATGAATTTTTATATATTCCGATTGAAACACTTATCAATGTTTATTTTTCCGTTCTTGGGTCACATTTTGTTCGGAGGGTGCGATTATGTAATAAATGATGAATGATTTCAAAATAATTCTTCACCTCATTTGTATGTTTTATACCAATAGATTCGTGTATGTTCAGTCTTTTTTTAGCTTTCAAGTCCTGGTCTAGTCTTGACTATTAGAATATGTTTGAATAGACTTTGTACACCTATTTCGTTAAAATGGATGCATAATAATTACTTATTTCGGGTGGATTAAACGAGAAGCTTGAAAATGAAAGTGTAGAACGAATCAGGTGGTCAGTGAAATCGCCTATCTCATTCGGTTAGAATTTTCATTTATTCGAAAACCAGGTTTTTGTTTGCTTGATTTGTAAGAAGTGCAGATTAAATAAAAATATAAACAAAACAGCCAATTGTTAAGGTTTTACGCTACTTTAAAGTATTTCAGTAATCTGGTTGTGTAAATGAATCATTGAGATATAAATGTAAGATTAAATTTTTACTAGGTTATTATATCATGACTTAGAAACGTATTACATTGTTTACTTCTGAGTAGACTCAATATTAAAGCAAGCAACTTAAGATCTCAAACCGAACGAAATGAGATGTGAAACCTTGAGCTAGTATATGATTTTTGAAAAAAGCATAATTTAACATACATTAACAGTATGATAATAAAGAACTAGTCAACTTACAGTATGCAAAAATGAATTCAACTCTTCACAGTTCATAAATCCTTTGGTTTTAGTACTGAAAACATATTCAGCGAAAAAAAAGTAAATATTAGACTGTTAAATTATTGCTAGGAATATACAAATATAATTTCGATTAGTCTGCAAATGTGATTACTTGATCTATTGAAATGCAAAATGTGATTTTTAAATAACTTGCTCAGTAATTAGATGTTCAATTTGTGCTTCGTGTTTCAGTCTTTGAATACCCTATCTAATATATGTGTACTGGTCAACGTGATGATGTTCTAATATTTTTTAATGAGCAAGGTATTATATATCTTCACTAAAATTCAGTTGCTTATCAACTGAATGATTAATATGCCAACTATGAACCCTGAAACGATTATGTACTTGTGTCCAGCAACCAGGACAATAAAACTAAAAAAAGGGCTTACAGATTTGTTCTGTCGCAAAGTAGACATTAATTACAGAACATGTGTTTTCTTCGATTTATCTTTCTTGATCGATAGTTTTTAATGTGAGTCAATTAGGATTCTTAATACTAACCAGTTCTTGAATATTTTTTAAACAGAATTGTATTTTTTAGGAATAGTTACGGTAATGCTCAGAAAAGTTTACCATAATTTATAGATAAACTTTAAAGTCTTACTCTAAAAGTCTATTTGTGGAAATTCAACAAGAATAACATGATTTCACAGTTACATGATATGACTACTTCACTGTATAACGTCATATTGAGAAAGAGAACCCATATTGTAAGCAATAACTTACTGAGCAGAAAACAAATCCGCTATGTCTTCTCGTGGCCAAAAATGAATGAACAAATTAAAGAAAACATCGAATGTAAAATGGTCTAGTGAAGTTGACTCAATCTGTAATTTCGATAAACATAGAAAAAAGAGATTTAATATTTTATGAGTTTGTAAAGATAGATAATACTTGGGTTTAAAAATTTTCAGTAAATATTTATAACTTAGGACTGATTTCTAATGGCTTTAACGAATGCACACGTACTTTATTCAACATAACCTTTCGCTACTTCTGATTTCGAATAAACAGACTGATTATTTTAAACTATTTCGGCATCTAAAACTGATTAAGTAAATGTAAATTGTAGGTAAACAACAGTGAAATGAGGTAAGTTGTCAGTTGCCTTCAAGCTCTGCTTTCAGTAGTCCCTCAAAAAAGAAAGAAGTCATTTTTGTTTACAATCAATTAACAACAAATCACTGCTGGAAATTGTGCAGAAGACGCATACTCAATATTGGTGCATATGTCGTTGCATTTTATTATCTTAAATAGTTTGAATTTCGCATGCAGTGTTTATCAATATAATAGTTTCGCAACAATCTACATTGGAACTTTAGCCGAAATGTTTAAGATGGATTAATATAATACAGGAAATTACAAACTACAGCATGGATGTATTTGAAAGCTTGTTCAACTGATCGTGTATGACAACAATAATAACTGTCTAGTTGGTAAAGTAATTAGGATAGTTTTTTCCAATACAAATTTGCATCAATTCAGAATAATACTATGTCCGGATTACATAAGTTTGTTTAGTTTATGGAATTTGTCTTGTTTCTTACAACCTGTATGGTATGCATTATTTGTCTTAAGAAAAATATGAACATTTACAGGACAGTGCATTGTGACGTACTAGCTGAAACCAATCTATCAAAGATTGCGATTCAGTGTTGGTGCATTTTCTATGAGTGTGGATTCCAAATCCACTGCATTTAATTGTGATATTTACAGGCTTCTTCTTTAGAATTAATAAAAAAAATATTTGATCCACGATATAAATGAATTCATATTCCTTCACAACAGATACTCATCTGTCTTTATCAAAGTTTTAAATACAGTTTGAAAATCCACACAAATTATAATGTCTAAGGTTAATGCATATAATTTAAGGCTGAAATTAGTAGTGAAAAGACAGATAATACGAGTAGTAATGATAACATAATAAGGAAGGATTCTGAAGACATAACAATGAGACTGAAAATATAGATAAAAGTTGACCGGTAAAATGTACAATGAGTCAGTAACTTTGGGTTTACTTTAGAAAATCTTATCATTTATTCTCACCAAGTTAAAAAGGCGGGTTCATCATAATTTGAAATGCGACATAAGTTACGTCATAATGATTCATTTGAAACCAACTGTGAGGCATCATACGTAAAATCTAGACGTGTTTAACTTACCTTATCACTGTCACTACAATAATCTACATTAACATTGTTCGCTATCACTGGTGAACATTCAGAGAGATAAGTTTTATGAGTGGGTACTAAATCTCTTTCTAATCCAAAAGCCGCTAAAATACAACAATTTGATAGGGTAAACTTTCCATCACGTGTTAACTGCTCTGATTTTTTCCATGTTGACAGATTCGAATAGACAATTATTAAATGTGTCCATCTGGAACAAAAAAAACATCAGTGCATATAATGTTGAAATCACCATGCGCAGATGAAATTGTGTAATTAGAAATATGATGGAAGGTATATATTCTATAATATTTAATTCATACTTTTAGTTGATAAGGTTTAGAAGGGGAAAGAAGTTCAGGTGAAGGAGACTTGTAAAACATTTCAGAATAATTTAATTTTATGGACTAGTCTAATTTTATGAACAAGTACTCTGAAATTATCATACGCATCTGATGTTCTTGACCTTGATAGCTAGTGAAGTATGGGCTCTCAGTTAATATCCATTTGATCACGTTAATTCTTAAATTACATTGTTTTAGAAATAATTTGAGTTTAAAATCACTTTCTGTGGTTACGTTTCATGAATATAATCTTACAGTTACCATAAATGGTATAGCATCTTTGTTTGTTTATGTAGATATTGAACTGAGTTTCTTGCTGTGAAGTCCTGGACCTAATTTTCCTTATAGGCAAAAGTGCTTGTCGTTTCCTCGAAGTTCCAGGATTTTGAATAGTAGCATATGGTGTTAACTCACGTGGATTATTCTAGTTATTGGATGGAGCAACCAATCTATTTTTTTTTTGAGCCATTACCCACAAACATATATGATCAGCTAATTCCTTGTAACCTTGATTGTTTTTATGTGAGTGCTTATGAGCGTACAAGTTTACATACTTACTCTCTTCGTCACATGTCTTTAGTTTGCATTTCAAATCCCACTATAAATATCAAATCAGGCCTTTATAAAATTGAGTTGGAACATGTGCCTCTTTTCCATTACTGCCTGTCTACGTTAATGGATGTACGAATTAACATTGTCGCATTTGACTGATTTTATTCTATATCATGGTTTCTCATCATCTACATACAACCTAAACATAATAGTGTTAATTATTTAAAATCAACGTACACATTTCATATCAATACATTAGAAATATTCTCATCGATAAGGATTAGTAAAAATTAATCCAGTCTTCTCTCTTTTCATACATTCTCGGATTTGAACTGAGCTTTACTCAATTTTATTTATAATCAAGCTTTTCTGTTGTTGTTGTTGTTGGGGACGTTAGATCCCCAGAACTCACTTGGAAAAGGTCCTAATTTTGTAATTTTATTCTAAAATTTCGACTTTTATGTTTTCTCGCCAAAGACGCTTAGTTGACGTTCAGCTTACATTTCCCACTGGCAAAATCATTGACTGGCATTGGTTGATGGATTATTTTAGTACACTTTTTTCTGGTTATCCAGTTGCTTATGGTTTTGAATAGTTTTACAATAGATTTCAGTATTTTCACAGTTACATGGAGATGATTGTATGAAGAATTTTGTCAGCTTAAATAGTCATAAGTCTACATAATTGAAAAGCAGTTAAAATTGAACTAAACAGAATATACCCATTGAGGAGAAGAAAGATTGGTTCAGAGAAGAGTTCTTTTTTCAGCGAATTTGTTTTTAATTTTTTTCCACACGGTGATAACTACAGTAACAGTGATAAAAATCTTTTCACTGAACCATTTCTTCCATTTTTTAATTTCTAAAATTCCGAAATCTAGAATTCACTTTCTGATATACAACAACCGTGAGTTATGATTCGTTTGGAACGTATTAGGTGGATGAACCTAAGTACCAGTGTTAATATTCTCACTGGAGCTTGTATTTATAACCTTTTATTCCAAAAGTCGACTGGTGATCTACCAAGCTATTTAATTCAGGTAGCCACCAATTCGTTCAAAATGTGTGAAGTTATGATTGAAGTGTTGGAATTTTCCCGTTCTTGCTATTGAAGACAACAAATGATCACTTTTCAATGGCTTCAATTTCTCAGCACGTTTGCACATACTTCAGTATTGACTAGAAATTGCAGCTGATCGATTTTTACAATTGGAAAATTCATATCATGGATGGAATTATACTTTAATTTGAACGAATTACTATTGAGGCTGTTTGAAATGATTACAGATAGACCTTTAAAAACTAGAATATTAGCTTCTATAGTCAAGGTAAATACAAAGCATAAACACAAAATCATTTGCCCGTGAAATATTTACTCTGGAATAGTTTAAGTAACTTACTGTTTCCACAATAACTCCAACGGTGCCAAATCAATACGTGTTGGATAGTGAGTAAATACTAATCTAAGTAGATTATCTTTCCATAACTAAAAAATAATACAAAGATTTATAATTCGGACATTAATACTAGCGATTCAGTCAAATTAAGAGAAGTGAATCAAGTTGACATTATATTTGATAATCTAAGTGATTTTCTGAGTTTGGGAATTTTTTTTCTGGGCCAAAGAGATTTTCTGTTTTTTGACTACATGGTTAGAACATCACAATTATTCCAAAGGTTTTTAATAAGTAATCGGAATATAATAGCACTTTAATTTTTGGTGTGTTATTCAGCTGAAGTAATAATTTAAAATTAAGAAGACAAAATGGACATTTGAAAACTATTCTCCAAAACTGAAACTACTAAGCTAGAACAATAGTAAGCATACATTTAAACGTTCTCAATAATAACACAAGCGGAAAACTGTGGAGATAACTATATCGGGTTTATTACCAGATAACTTAACCAAAGAATGAGTGAACACCTTCCAGCATGGTTTATGAAGGGCCAGTTAAAAACAATACGCTGCTCTATCTTGGCACGTCTAGTTGATAGTGGTCATATTGTAGATAAATCTGGATCGTTTCGAGTGATCTACGTATACCTCCGTCATTTCCCAACGGAGTTCGATCCCATCTCCTACACATTGCAGAAGCCATAGGAATTCGTACATTCAACCCCAATTTATATGTTCAGAAGAAATTCGTGACATCCCTATCTCGTTCGGGGCCAGATATAACTTAACCAACGAATAAAGTTTTTTTATTTTGTTATTATTAGCATTATTTTCACATCATTTATTTGTTTGCAATTTTCTGCCTCTTCTCGTTTATATTCTTCACTATATGATTATGAACACACTTCGTATTATGTAATGGTCTTACTGTTTTGTAAGGATTATTTTAAGTCTATCCACGTTTGACCTACTATCTCGAACATTGAACTATTGATAAAACTTTTGTTACACATCTGAAATCATCAATCGATGATTGTTAGACCATCATCGGAAACCTGGAAGCACTGAACGCCCTTTCCCACCTCGTATGGGACTCATCAGCAGTACGCATCCAAGATTCCTACACCTCGCAGAATTCGAACCCATGACCTTCGGTATTCGGCGCAAACGCCTTACCTCTAGACCACTGGGGTGGCATCCAGCGGCGTTAGTGTCTAACTCTGATTGATCTAGGGATTTTGCGCGACCTCACGCATTTGTTTTTCGTAGTTACTGCCTACACCCGATGAATGCGCTCTGTTGATGAGTCCCATACCAGGACGAAACGGCCGCCCAGTGCTTCCAGGTTTCTAATGGTGGTCTAACAATGATTGATTGATGATTTCGAATGCGTAAAAACACTAATCTCCATAATTCTAATTTAAAAAACTTTTGTGATCGTATTTTATTTTTCTTACCACTATCTGTACACCTGTCTTCCTATTATCAACTTTTACTTTTTCCTATTATGCGTAGTGACGCAATCTGTTTCATTTCATTGTGATTACTGACTCGAATTGCTTTGATTGGTTTAACATTTTCATATAAATATTCATGTATATCAGAGTAAAGCCTGATGACGATCTAATCGAAAACAGTATTGTTCACTTATAGATGTTGTTCTAATTTTCACAATGGGAAACTGTAATATTCTTATATAGATATCATTAGTAATCTATGAAACAAACACCCTTGCATACTGTTTACTATCTTCATCACATTTTGATCTGTTAGCAACTCGTTACATGAGAAGGTAACTGAGGAATGCGAAAACTATGAATATTCTTTAGTGGGAGGAGTTCATTGTTTTCTTAGCTGATTGTAATTTAAAAACGTCAGAAAAATCTGAAATAGGCAGTTTCGAAAACACTTGGTGCTTAGTAAACACCGAACCCGGTTCTAACCAATTACGAACTAGACTTGGGTGTCAATCAAAACAACTGTTTAGTTTCAGCTACTGAAAGGTTTATAAATGCAATTTTATCTTGAGTCAGAAATTTGCTGTTACGCGGATTTCGCCAAAGTACTTTCCAACGAAATATTCCTTGATAAAAATGCAGCAGTCGAGTTTCTAATTTAAAACAATCAGTTTTGATGTATCATTTTTATGATCACAGTTTAATCATTACGCTAAAACTGTATTCGGTCTGCTGAACTCTATATTAAATGATCACGAGTCTAAGTCAATAATCACCTAACATATAGTCTACATAAAAATGAAAATATCAGTGAATGTTTCTTTCCCAGAAAATTTACATGTAGTGCATTAGCTAGATTATATTTAAGAGTATTTATATGGCATCTGAATGGTATGAACGTCACTCAAATAAAGTTACGAATATTTCGATTAATCCTCGTCTGATTGTCTATTTCCCTAATAAGCAATCTTAACTGAATGTAACATCATGGCAGCTTATCATTTTTTCAACTATTTAAAACAAATAACGATAAGCTGACAGAAATTCAAGCTCATCAAACTTTGTACGCTTGAAGAACTTGTGATTTACTTTCTACATAATTGTTTATTACAAAAGATGATAAAGAAGTAACCAATCGAAAAGTTGTTCCTATTATAAATTAATTAACCAATAGTTTTTAAATAATTAATCTATTTTCTTTTTGTGATAAATAAAAAAAAAATGAAATAATCAATTTTCTTTTGCAATTCTCTTCATTCTATTTTAATTAGTCTAAGTTCAATTTACAATTGAAACTGGATGAAATGAAAAGGTAGAGAATAATAATTCAACTGAATTACGACGCTTAACTGAAAAAAAGGGGAACGAGAATTGTGAGTAGTATAGTGTTTTCTTTCACTTTATCTAGTAATTTAGCTATCAACATTTTAGTTAGCTGTTCAGTTAGTTTATTATTATTATTACTACTTTTATTATTATTACTTACTATTTCAATGAAAAAGAATAAGGGTAAAGTGTCCCAACTCTTATTGCAATGGCTAACAAAATCGGAAAAGCGAAGAATTTTGCAGTTTAAATTTACATTTTATGAATGGCGATGTGTTTAGTAGTACATATGAAAGCTTCCAAAGTTTACTAACTAATAAAGAATGTATTTGGACTCGATTGATATGCTAACTATTGGTTCACGGAATAGAATAGCCTATGATGTCACTGTATCATCGCTTTCGCTCCGTTTGCCATATTAGGTGAACTCGTAATAGCATTCAAGCCTATCAGTTGACAAGCATATCAATTTCAATACTCCTAAGTATTTGAGAAGAGCTCCAAGAGTTCCCTAGTATTGCTTAGTTATCCTCCAGAAGTCTTACATTTTTCACGCAGAGTACACACTGATACTGTTTACCCACTGACATTAGGTCATTAAGTTCATACGAGCATTCTTACTTCATTTGGATTGGTTGTTTGAATCTCCTCATTAAAGTTTAGGTCTTCAGTTGCAGTTTCAAGCGTTATGTTTCAGAGCGGCTAGTAGGTACACCCAACTGATGAGTCCCAGCTAGGATGAAACACGAGTCTCGGATACCACTGCTAGTCACCATCGAACTCGGTTTTACTGTTTGCCAAGACTTATTTGATTTATCAAATATGTGTAAAGTTTCTGTACTTAAATAACTTTCCAAATTTATCAGAATACTCGAAATAAGCTGACTCTGTGATTATTGGTGTTAATATTATGAAGATAATATGTGCCTATCTTATAAATGGATGAGATATACTATGTTGGTAAATATCTGAGAATTGCATGCAATGTTTTCTGAATGCATAAATTATAGCTTGCTACTGTCATTTAACGGTGCTCGAAAGTGACCTTTTACTACTAATAATATTGCATTTAGATTATTTGTTTTTTTGTAGTTTAGTTGAGAAAATCTTAAGGCAATCCAATAATTTACTGTTTATAAACTAAATTGTTCTGAAACCATGATACATACATAGGCGAATCCTCTATTGATTCAGATTACAGAAAATCAAGCATTGTTACAATTACATTAGCTAGACATATTTGTTTCGCAATCACAAATGAAATTTTATTGTTTTTATTTCTTCAAAAAACCGGAGCCATCTTTTTGTTGAAAAATTTTTTAAGGGTCACAATGACAGGAATTTTAACCTACTCACATAAACCAATCAAGCTATCATTATTATGACAAATGAATAGTTTCGTTTCAGTCAACTTGCTGGTGAACAACATAGACACAACACCTAAATTTGTACGTTTTTTTATGTAGAGATTTGTAGGTAGACATACGTGTTTCAAATAATCCAACTACTCACTGTTTGCTACTTAGGTGATCAATAAAATTTGAATCAGTCATTTGACAATAATAGGTGAGTAAATTGCTTGAATTTACTGGTAGAAAGAAATAAATGTTTGCATAGAAATTGGCATATTGTTTTAGCAGGTAGATGTTTTTTAATTTCAAGAACAGAGTTTAGGATGTTATAGTTTAACACGATTCTGATTTGTTCATTCATAACCGGATTAAAAGAAAAGAACACCTAACCCATTCCTAATATGAGGTGAAACAACATTATAATTCTGCTAATTGGTTTTAGACATTTGATTTTTTTCTCGTTCATAAGCAATGTAGGGCCTGGAATACGCATGGATCCATACAACGTGCCACATTATATTAGCATAGTGAAATGAAACTGACAAATAGACAGTGAGGTAGTTAGAATGATGATAGTTTCAAATAAAGTATTAAGAAGAATGTAACAAGTATGTGAATCCCTAATCAACAATGAAATAAAGTAATAGAATCAGATAGAGATAGCAGTTATTAGACTTCTTTGAAGCTAGTTCTAACGAATAAATACACAAATTTCATTCCCTGTCAAAGAAATAATGTTCACTTACTTTTAGAGTCGCAGTATTATCTTTGACTAATAAAAACACAATACTAGATTGGTCATATATTCCATTATTCAGTTTCCCATAGACCGTGTTTCTTCTGGATTCGAATAGCCCCTCCGACGCAACCTGAAGTCGTATGAAACTCGTTTCCATTGATTCGAACAACTGTCAAAGTATTTTAAAATCAAACATTTAGAACGAGTTAATGTGCTCCGGTGAAATGGATATCCTTTGTGATAAATCAATAAATTTCAATAGACGTTCATTTCGGAAGTGTCGATTTACTAAGCATATTTTGTTGAATTTATAAATCAATCAAAGTGATTAACTAGCAATTCACATTGTAGGGTAACACACCTCACTGATATGAGATTTATGTAAATCCAGACTTTATATCACAGATTATGGTGGTATCCAAAAAATGAAAGTTATACCTAGAGGAGATGTAGCTTTCAGGGTGTTTACATATACTCATTTGGCTCCAAAGGATGTAGCATACAAAAGTTACTCAATATCATCATGAGTATTACAGTGAATATAAATGCTGAATTACTTTAGAGTCAGTCGCTCTAATATCCACAAGCCATATGGCAATCCATAATTCTACAAAATATTAGAGAAACCATGATCACTATGTATTTTCTAAAATAGAAGCCTCTGCCATTGAGGATAAAATGTTTAGGGTTTAAATGAGCTTGTATGCACTGAAATCATTATGTAGTCGGAATTTTTTTCCAGAAAACGTCATAGAATCGTGTGTAATTGGCCAAAATATTTCTCCTCGCAAGTACATTTTTTAGAAAACACTATTGTGTTATCAAAAATTTAATGAGCAAATTACTCCATGAAGTTAGGCTTTGTTGTATTGTTTCACTAAATTAATATTTATAATTCGAAATTCGAACACCTGCTTTCTGTTGACGTTTAAAGCATACATCTTTTATAAAAAGTTAAATGCAACCACTTTAGATAGACAGATTTCCTCGTCAGCAACACCCCTTAATTTTACATATGATTAGGATACTAAGTATATATATATATATATATATATATATATATATATATATATATATATATATATATATATATACGTTGCTGCTATACTCTAAATTTCAGAAGGTGAAAATCTAACGATGAAGTTCACTGCATTATTTCATTATGTTCCTCTGTCCAAACGTTCTTTAAGTTCTATGAAACTACCAGTAAACTCTGTTAATATTAAGCAAACAACATAGTACAAATAAAAGGAAGTTCTTCGTTCAGCTACTCACATCATCATTATCTGTACACATTTCAATATCTTCAATATACATGAGATCCAATGTAGTCACCACCTAAATATAAAAAAAATGAAATAAATATAATTTTTACGTTAACGGATTTCAGAATTTACTTTAAAAGTCGATTTGATTAAAACAACGCTATTCTATTTCATGTACTTAGTTTATTTAATGAGCGCATTTTACAATTTATTATTCTAACACACTTGATATTACACTGAACATCAAGTTATTGTAATGAAATCTTCGGTGAAATGAAACTTTGAAGAACTTACTTTCAGGATAAATTCAGCATGCTTAATGAGTGAAATTATTTGAATACTTTGATAGAAAATTCAAATAGATCCATGAAGAATCTATCATTTTGAGCTGAATTAAGAATTATGGATAATTATAGTTCAACTCATGTTTTAAAGTTACTGTGACGAGAAAACATTATGTAAATCATAAGCGCGATCCTGCACAGAGTTGTATGTTTATAATGTCACTTAATGTACGCCAAACTATAATCTGGCAATCACTGGTTCGCGCTGTTTCTCTAAATTATCTCACTCGGTAACTAAAGTCAATGTCGAAACTCCCGAGAGTCCTCACAAACTATCATCGTCAGACTAGGTTTAAGCTTTAAAAATGGGCGCCTGTCAGAAAGGAAGGACAAGTTGTAAACTATCGATCTCCTATAAAGGACTCGAGACTAGGCTGCAGATTAAGAACAGACAATCAAGGAAATTACCCTAATAAATATTATCTATATCAATACTACAGAGATATTCACTCTGGAAATAAATGTAATTTAACTAAACAACTGGTGATCGTATAAAAACTGACCAAAGTGAAAATGTATTCAGTCCACCATTACACAATTGTTGACCCATGGTTTAAAATGGAAGAATTATTTATAAAGATCCATAAAAGTCAGCAATCCATCTATTTTTCAATTTTATTCCTACTTAACTTTTACATACTTTTTGATTGATTAACAGAGAACATAACATTCACAAGGTCATTGGAAGAGTTGCTCAAGTGTGAAACTGTATTTCATTCAATTTCATTTACATAAATATGGATATAATCATAACAAAATACTTGAATCCCCTAATCTAATAAGATTTGATTATTGATAAGAATTTCTGATAAATTTGACAAAACAAAAAAAAACGACCACCTACTTTCTGCTCTATCGAATTCCAATAAATGAAAAATCCCCACAAATCAATTTGTACGAAAACTTTATGCCATGTCATTTGTTTACAAGATTTTTCTGTTTCCTATAATGATTATAGATAGTCAATAGGCAGTAATTAATGAAACTTTTATATCCAAAACATTTAGAGCTAATGAGTTTGATAATCCTTGTGAATTCTGTTTATAATTAGATGTAAAACTCTAACAAGCTAAGGAAAATTGTTCAGTTTCATCATCATTTGGACTGAAATATCAAAATGACTAGATATTATTTTAAAATGTCATTTGATTTTTCTTATTCCTAGAAAGTATTTTAGCTTATTTGAAAAGATTTACGTTGTTCCCTAATGCTATTAATTTGAATTATCGTCATTACTGTTTATTCCTAAATGGAAGATTTTACGTTTTCGGCGAGAAGTCTTATTTTTCTGACAAAATTTAACTACTCGTAGGATATGCTGTAGTGACTTTACAATACAAATGAAGTAAAGTCTTCTTACAAGTAGAAATAGTCCAAACAACCACCAGAAATCAGTAGAACTACGAGTGATTCACTAGGTATAGTTGAGACAGACGTTCAAAGTGTTATTGTTTTTGAAAGTTGATCATTAAGTTTGCTACGTACATCTCTAATTCTTATGTATTCAAATATACCGTTTTTCTCCGTAAGTTTTATATTTTTAAAGAACCTGTAACTAAACCTGTGATAGGTATGTTTGTGAATTTTTTCAGTAGAAACTATAGCGTGCAACATAGTAACACAACAAAGAGGAATTTCAGACATTTCAAGTCATCAATCAGTCATTGTTAGACCACCATTAGAAACCTGGACGCACTGGATGGCCGTTTCGTCCTGGTATGAGACTCATCAGCAGTGCGCATCCACAACCCCTGCTCCTTGCAGGATTCGAATGCATCAGGACCTTCGGTCTTGCGCGCGAACGCTTAACCTCTGTCGAAATTTCATGAAAGTCAGCATTCGTCGAGTTCCATAAATTTTGTTTTTACCCTGTCAACTGTATTACGGCCTAAAGAATCTTAAAAATACTGATAGAACATTCTAACAAATGAGCGATTTCAACCAATCTCCTTGTCATAATGCCTCTGGGATTGTCATTAGCTTATCGTACTGCATAAAAAAGTAGAACAAGTAGATCTAATTGAAAGCACTATTGTTCACTTATATGTTTGGGAATCTTTAATATGCATAAAAAAGTAACAAATTATCATTGGTTTTTGGTTATATTACAAATATGTATCTCTAAGATTCTAAAATAGCTTTTACATATCCAGTAAGCAATAAAAAAACCTTGTTCACTATGTGTGTGTTTTCTAATTATGATAGACATATAAACATTATTATTTGACTTATTCTGATAAACAATGATGATTTTTATGTGTTTTATAGGATTACTAAACAACTGATTCACTTAGAAAAAACAGAATAGGGAAAAAATAATTGGAAAAATGTAAACAGTTATTTAACATAAACTTTTTAAGACAAAAATATGGTCAAAAATATTTTGCTCCTTTATAATGAAAACATTAACACTAGTGTTCAACCCTGTAGTGTGTAGGCATTAACTACCGAAGACAATGGGTAAGGTTGCGTAAAACCAAATCTAGACATTAACGCCATTGGATGCCGGCTCAGTAGTCCGGAGTTTAAGTGTTCGCGCGTAAGACCGAAGTTCCTTAGTCGCGATTCCTGCGAGCTGCTGATAAGTCGCATACCAAGACAAAACGGCCGTCTACTGCTCCCAGGCTTCCGATGGTGGTCTAACAACGACTAATTCATGAATTCTATAATGATATAATCAAAAACTACCTAATTTAGTAGTTTAATGCAGTTTTCTCAACTAGTAGTACTATTAGTTGTTGTTACTAAACTTAAATATACTTGATAGAATTCCATTTTATTGTCGAAACATCCGGCATTTAAACATTAACTTTCACGCGGCGTTTGAAGAGTCATAGCAGCTGCTATTCATTTTATGAAGTGTCATGTGGAAGAACTCATAAGTCAAAGAGGAATTATAAAGAAGAATCGTATGATATAAAGGAAAATGACATTGTGTGGAATCATATCAAACTCTTATTTCTGACTCATATTCTACTTAAAACACTAATCAATGATACAGTTCCCCGTTTCTACTGATTCAAATATAGATACATACATTATTTATGATATCATAATAGACCATAGTATAGACTCATCTACTCTCAAATAAATCAAATTTTGTCATGATACTTTATTTAAATTTTCTAATACAGAGAGAACCATGAAAATTACTATCACAGTGAACTAATTCAATGTAAAGATTACTTTTATTATGGACTAGTGTAAGAATGGGTTCAAAATAATCTTTGCTTATACCAATCAAAAATACACAACTTTAACGCAACAACAATTCACACGCTTAACAAATAGATCTGATCTTGGCTAATTATATACAGACGACTTTACGAAATTCCTTTGGTTTGAATTTGCCGAATACATCAAGTACAAAATGTAGGCCTAAATGATTGATTATTTCAATTGTACTTTGCATTATTCTTTAGGTGATAAGTGTATGTATTAAATTGTATCCTTTGCTGTATTTTAATTGCTCACTGGAAAGTTCATTATTTTATCAAATAACTGCAAAGGCTGAAATAGAATGAATTTGATCAGTTAATGCAATAATATCGATTAGAAGCATTCAAGAAATTAGTCTTGTTGTTAAATAAATCTATACTTTTATCAGTTATGAATCTGGTTTCATAATTTTGCTACATTTAAAATATTAAAATGAACACGATATTGATGAATCTTTAGGGTTTTTTTTTGGGTAGATCAACTCATCTTTTGAAAAAAAAAAAAACGTTTAATAGAAAGAAAAAAAAACCAAGATGCCTGTTCTCGTCAACCAAACATCTGTTTCACTGTGAAATTTTATTTTTTTTTCCAAATCAGAACATCATTAAAGAATAATTTTTTCTAAAATGAATTATTTTTTTTCGCATATTCCTGTCCAATGTACAATGTTCATAGCCATGTAACATTTTGTTCTATATGTAAGCCATTGTAAACTTGCGGATCAATAGGAGAACCGATTAACGAACTAGTTGTCATTATTGACGTTTTTATAACGTAAAAAGAAATTGAACAGTTTCCAGTGTTCTGTTGTTTATCTTTTTAACTCTATTTTGTTTGTTTGGAAGAGCTTACAGAAATAGTAAGAAGAACTATTTGTTATTATTGTTGTTGTTAATGATGACTCATTTGTTTTGTTGCCTGTTTCACCTACTTTTTACTCTGCTTTGTAAGCATTAATTTCGCAAAAATGTTTCATAACAAAATTTTCTTTAATGTAATTACATTGATGATTTCAAATATGTGAAAAAAGCACTAATCTCCATAACTGTGATCGAAAAAAATCTTAATATGTGCTCACTAGTGACTAGGTTCGTGGAGAGATTATCAGAGTTCTAGTGAGAAGACCAGTGGAGTTCAACTTTGTTGGGTGTAGGCAGTAACTACCAAAAGCAAATGGGTGAGGTCACGCACAAGACCGAAGGTCCCGGGTTCGAATCTTGCGAAGTGAAGGTGTCATGGATACGCACTGCTGATGAGTCCCATGCCGGGACGAAACGGCCGTCCAATGCTTCCAGGTTTTCATTAGTGGTCTAACAATGATTGATTGATGATTTCAAGCACGTACTTTTGTTAATTTCTGTAAATATCGTTATTGGGGAAAAAGAACTTAAAAAAATGGCAGTGAACTATTTATCTATGTTATTATATAAACAGTGTCCAACATGTATTGCATGAATGTACTTCAAACATGTAACTCACTGTCTTATTGTAAGCATACATGTGACTAATTAAACATTGTATTGCTGTACATAAAAACACTTTAGTATTTCTGTTATCAAACAGTGATTTACTGCTCAACAGTAACAATGGTCCTGGACAATTAAACTTAATTAAAGAAGTTTGAGTGAGACAAATAAAATAATTTACTGTTTAAATATTTTATCATAATTCTATGGACCATAAAACAAGACAGTCCCACAACTGTAAGACCGCTTTGAGCTGTCTTGTATTCATTACAAAGTATTGATAAAACTAAAAAAAATTTCTCATTAATTAGAATTTCCCGTGAAGAAAACATTTTATTACATCGTTGAATAGATTCAAACAGGTTGTCGATGCGTGAGTGCTCCTAATGTAGTTGCCCTTGACATTTATCATTCTTTGATTTAATTTCTAGCTTTAAGAGTATCTTAATAGAGTGTTGATTATTGAGAAACAACAGAATATTTTGAGATTAGATCTTAACTTTGGGTTGTGTGAATAATGTAGTTTACGAACGTACCATAAAGTAGAGAGAGAATTCATCGCCATCAGTTAAAACGCTGGGTACCGGTAACCAAGGTAGATGAGGTTCACTGTGTGTATTTCGATTGTTATTGTTTAACATTGCTACATGTAAAGAGCTTCATGTTACATCGTTAATAATAATCAAACTCATATTCTGTAGTATTTTTATGTTCACTGAAAATAAATTTAAGAAAAACGCACAATTTAACATTGAAATATGCACCGAAAACTGATCTGCATTAAATATGTATGAACAGAAATGTTAAGTATTGTCTAGCAATGATTAACTGCTGAATTCAATAAAATCAATGACAAAGTCATATATTCAAATGGATTGTACTTTACCTGATATCAAATGTACAGAGGATTATGAAGTTTAAATTGAACTGAAATCTCATGCAAATCGAATTGTAGCAATCGTGTTTCAATGTGCTGAAAACTCGCGTGAATGAAAGAAGACAGACAACGTTTATGATTACAGAATGATCAAACGCATCACAAATAATTCGGTGTATACCATAACTTTGTTAGTATTCTGAAGAGACGGTATTTGAATATCGGTTGTAAATTACAAAGTACTTGAGTAGTTCGCGAAAGCTGATATTTTATTCATTTCGGTTCTATCTATTCGAGTTCTTCGACATAATTATTATTCTAGGACATTTACTACGACTGATGTTTAACATATAAGAATTGGATGCATATATAGATGAACTGATTCTATTTTGATACGGAATCCAATGCTTCGTTTGAAAAGTGATCAAGTGTATGGCCCTGTTTCGATATTGTACAAGTGCTTGAATAGCCTTAATGAAACTTTCAAAAGAAATCAGGGGCAAAACCGTAATTTTATTCATTGAATAGAAGACCGATTCAAAAGTGCATCTGATGCTTTCGAATTGCCAGTTCATCTTAAGATATCGGAACTGAGGAATGATGATTTCTGTTTATTGGAAGAATTTTAAAGCTGTTATGTTCGTCGATTGATATGCTTGAAACTATTACGAGTTCACCTTAGTCGGTAAACGAGAGCGAAGACAAATGATCTAGTGACGCGATAAACCAATCTAATCCGAGCTTCCCAAGGAACCATTAAGTAGAGGAAGAAGTCTTGACAGGGCTTAGAGAGTGTAATTTACAAGCACCCAAAAAATATGCAGTTGACAGACACACAATTCGAGTTTATTTATACATGACAGAAACGCCCTTGGGAAAGCCACAAAAATAGCGTACTAAAATAATGCATCAACCAATAACAGTCAAGGATCTTCCAGGTGGGAAATGTAACCTCAGGGTCAACTGATCAGTCCATGCGCGAAAACATACAAATCCGAAATCAGGACTTTCATCTAGTGAGTTCTGGGGATCTAACGTCCCTAACAAAGCAAATATTAATTTTAACAGCGATTTCGGATGTGATGTATATATATCACACTAGATATTTAGTTAAAGGTTGAAAATTTTCATTTGAAATCTGTATGCATTTGGTTTTTACAGCTCACCGTTCAAATCATCTACATTTCAGTGAAATTCTACCGTCAAATATTTTTCACACATAGGCAATTTTGACGTTTGGGAATGTTTTTTGATTATAAAGTATCCAACGGAATTAACGTAAGCAGTACCGTTCGTCGATCAATATTGTAATTTTATAACGTCAACGGACAGAATTTAGTTTCTATACTATACTATACTATACATATATTTATATACATATATTGATAAAAGTTTATGTATTGAAAGCGAAAGAATTATATCACAATTAATGTAACACTTACCTCTAACGCTCACCTGTCTTTATTAGTTTGCGTGATCGGTGGTTAATGACATTTTAATGGTATCTACAAAGGAACGAAAATTATATATATATATATATATATATATATATATATATATATATATATATATATATATTTCTAATCAAACGAGTCGGCATCCATATTGGCTGTCAAATAAAATAAACGTTTCCAGTCAATAGGAGAACAAATGTTACTAATCCAAACCTAATTATTTTACTATGTTAGCTAGTAAATCATTGAATAAATTATGTTGGCTGTTGATAAAGCATGATTTTTGATTCTGATAGCTAATGCAACAATAACGTTTTCCATGATATGATAATCATTTTCAGTAAGACAGTTTCAATCATTGTATGCATTAAACATTTACCATATAAGGTTGTAGTTCAGTTTGTTTCGTTACAAGACCTTGTTGACTATTCGCTAATAGAATATTCAGCGTAGATTGCCGAATGTCTGTATACAACGTCAACTGAATAATTGAGTTGGGTGTTACAGAACAAATTTTCATCAGAGCACCTGCCTCCCCTGTACTCAAACATTTTTTTAGAATTGAGTTTTGCTGTCATAGTTAACATAGCCACACAGGGACAGAATAACAAAATTAAAACAAGTTATTCATAGCTCTTCTTACATGGTTTTACTTACGCATAGTAAGCCGGTTAATCAATAAAGATCCCTTTGTATTACAAATCTAACAGTCGATAATCTAATGTGTGGATAATCCAGAAATACCTTCGATATTGATTACTACTTTAAAGTGATAAAATTTTTTATGATTTCAAACTTTTGTTTTAGTTTGATAATTCATTTCTGTATGTCAGCAGCAACATTTATTTATGCTAACATTTTGTCACTTCATTGTATATAACATTTGATGTGTTACACATCTCTGACTTACTGACTACTTCGTATTTTCTGCAAAAATACATGGTACACACTCTCGGGCAATATTTTAGGTCTTAAGTATGATGAAAACTGGTTTGTATTGATCAATTTAATGAATATCTATACAACCAATCCACAACTTCATTGAAACCACTTCTAGTTACTAAAATAATTTTCTACGTCCATCGATGATGATAAGAATTCTGTCTGAGATGTGTCAAGTTCCGAGTCAGGTCATGAACAACTATCCATGACATGAAAATTGCGACTATTTAAAAATTATAGGCGCAAAATTACCAAATCATTGACGATTATTATTTATAAACCTTTTATACCAGATGGAAACTATTCATGCTAAGACTAAGGAGTAACAGCTTGATCGATCAGGGAATTTTTATTTTCATTGCATCACCTCACTATCTGTCTTCTTTGTGGTGATGAATAACGTCTACATACAGACTAACAGAAAACTATAAATTTTTCACCTGTGAACACATACTACTAGGAAATTTTTTGTATTCTTCATAGATGAGACATCATAAATGTCAGAGAAGTTTCACGAAAGTATCACTCGAAGCTACATACTTATTGATATCCACTAAATCTATAAAAAATTGGTAAATTATCAAACAGTAAAGCTAACTGTACTGCCCATAATGACAATTGCAAACTTCTCTTCATTTAAACCATTTCCATGATCTTACATGTCTGTTAAGAATGTATATTTGAATTTTTAACTGATAGTAGTATGAATTAAAGATTATGTCATAATTCAATAATTACCAGTGTATGCCACTAAAAATTTTTTGATAATCAAGTACATTAATCAAAGAAAATGTAAAATTATCTTCGACAACTTCTAACTGCCTGACTGTAAATATACAAACCAATATTGAGCTGATACATAAACCAGTTTAGACCTTGTAGATTATTATTTCAACATCTATTCAAATCCTACTCATACAAAAGTATCATGCATGGGATAGCCGTTGCGCTGGTCACAAATATTGAGCGTGACCTCGCCAAATGGAGAACATAGACAAAACCGTCATTCATTTTTTTTCAACAGAGAGCATATAACAGTCTATATTCCGTCTCTACTTCTAGAATATAATTAAATGTATTCTCCCTCTGAAGATATCACTCTAAGACGAGATAAATAAAC